TCAGCGGAAACTCATGCATCTCTAATGTTCTCATTGTATAAGTTACACAATGTGGCTAGCCTATACTGTCTTCTAAGCGTATTATGTCACCATATATCATTCACCCTTTAGGCCCTGGTGCGTTATTTTTCTAAACGGCTCAGGTTGAGTGTGATATCGGTCCCTGTAATGAGAATTTTACTGCAGTCTGATTTACACGAATCTCTCCTCTGCTATCTTTATCATCTTATGTCTTTTTTACTCCTGTCTTTATGGTCTATCTGATGTAAATAGCGATTCAGAAAGGCCTCCCCTTTTCATGGTCTATCTGAAGTATGTCCTCATGCTCAGACTGAAGCCTTGGTATTTTGCTTTTGTCCTTGTTTCCTTGCATACATTTATGCAGAGCTCTTTAAGTGACATGGCACCGCCGATTTCCTTGCAGTAGTTCTTCCTTGTTTGATAAGCGCCTAAACATATTACACATCCCTAAACCTAGGATAGACCTTTAAAAAACAAGTTTGTCATATTCCGCAGCTCAATTGTGGAATTATCTACCACAGCAAATCAAAAGTACCACTAGTCCATTTACATACAGTCGGAAACTGTTTGAATATTATCTCAGCACCGATTATATGCCCCCATAGAAGATAAAACATGTGTGAAAAATAGCGCCCATTTTCCTTAGATTTGTTACAACTAATACGTTTTACTGTAGTTAAAAATGTGCACATTCCAGTGCTTGTATTGATTATTTTGATGCTATTGCGAACTTTTAATATTACTTGATGTGTGAATGAAATGATGTAAGAATGGAGGGAGACCTTGAAGGGCAGAATGCTAGACAGGCCTGCGTGCCCAATTCTTAACCCTTTAAAAATAAAGTTTGTTCGTTCGTTCGTTCGTGCATCTTTTAAAACATCTGTTAGCGCATCTTTCTTAGTCTTGAACCATTGGAAGTGTGGTGTGCGTGTCTTTCTCTTGTTCCCTGCCACTCCTTGATGTCTACTCTTTTATCATGTCATGCCTTTTTGACTTCATCAGTTCACAAAGGTGGTTGCTGCCTCTCTATCCTCTTCCTAATTATTGTTATGTGAGTCTTAATGCGCAGGCGATCTATGACACTAGGGCTTTAATAGTATGGAAGGTCCTCTCCTGCCCCAGTCGCCACTCGAATAGATATCTTGGACTGCCTTCAGTGTCTACTATTTTTGTTTGCATCCATCTAGTCATTACATGCATATATGTTGACAACAGTGAGGTGGATGATCATAGCTTGCATCAGTATTCTGTCATCATTCAAGTGCTTATGCCAATCTTTGTGGCATGGAGGTCCTTCCGGACCAGGATTACTTGGCCTAAATATGTTCTATTGGATGTCATAGGATGCCTGTGTCCCCTACTCAGATCTCCTCTAGGACCACATCAACATCAATATTTCTAACAGTGGGCTTCTTTTGTAAATGCTTCCCTGCTGCAGTATTTTTTTAAAATAGCCTTTCACTTTTCCATTGCTTTCTCTTTAAACATGGTAGGTCTTTTTCTTTCTCTTTTCCGCTTTATTTCTCTTCTTCTTTCTGATGCAACGGATCTCAGCTTAGTAGCACATCCCCTGTTACTCAGGCCATGATTGGGTTTAATGGAATTTTTACCCACATACTTGATGATATTACATAACAGAAGGTTTACTGTCGTCCTAGTCCAGCCTGAATGCAAGGAAAGAGATCCGGAACGTCAATAAGACGTCCATATGCCTGATGCTACCTGGACACACCAGACGTTCCACGTTAGTGACCAGTGACCTTTCGCCATTCAGTTCCTCTGCAAATGGAGCCACCTTGAAGTTGAAGAATATATATCTATGTTTAGGAAATTATTTAACTATGGTGTCACTTGCTTCTGTACTACATTACATCCTTTTGTAACACGTTCCATGAAGATTTTAAAAAAAAAACATTTCAAGACGCTTGTTGTGTTGCTGATCTATGTTGTGAACGAACGAACAAATTTTATTTTTAAAGGGTAAGAATTGGGCACGCAGGCCCGTCTAACATTCTGCCCTTCTACTCCACTCATTGCATACAATTATTTATGTGTGCCTCATTTCAAAGTTAATAACAATAATAAGAAGAAAAAAATGATGTTGAACAAGTCGGTATGTTCGTTGACCATAAAAAAGACTATGTAGATAAGACTTTTTGGAGACAGATTTGGAACTGACCTAGTATTGTTAGTGTGTCACACAGAGTCAAAATGCTTGCAGAAGTAGGGTGGTGTAGACTGGACCGCATCAGATACAATTATATCAACGTATTTACACCCGGGCCAAAGCAGACAGTCATATACCAATGGTAGGGCTCTGTCCATTTATGACACATATTTGGACGTTAACGTAATGTCACTGACATTTGCAGCGATGCCCTAAACATCTACCATGACAACCTTGTTTACCGACTTCCATCTGGTTATGTTTTATATTTGTGGAGCTATAGAGGTGGAGACTGAAGCATCTACAAATCTGCAAAAAGTCCTATAATGATAATCCTAAAAAATCACTAATCACTGTTTCACAGTATACATGACAGAAGGCTATGATGAAGTGGTCAAGCTGTTTAGCATGCTTTTCTGAAGGTCATGGTTTTATTTCATGGCTGTGTTATTTGGTTCAGTGCAGTTTTTACAGCAGCAGCCAGAGCTACAGAAGTTTGTGCTTTGTGCAACGATTTTGACAGGCAGCTATCCACTTTGCGGAGAGACTGAGCCACAGGGAAAAAAACTGGGGAAATGGTCAATCTTCTCGACTTTGTGGGCAGACATGCTTACCACCACCACATCAAATAGGTTATGAGAAGATAAAAAACACAAGAACCAGTCATTTCTACTACTTTTTCTTAATTACATCACTAATGACTTACTTATCCAAATGACTGTTACACACACAACTGTACAAATGGTAAACATGGTAAAGGCCACCTTCACGCAACAGGTGTTTATTGTGTTAAAATTAACAATGTAATTAATTACAGGTCATTTATTGAAAACAGTCCAGCAGTTAATAATACCAGCATGATGTGTTTCCAGCAGCTGTTTGTGGAGGTAACTTAGAAGTGACAACAGATAGCAAGCAATTACAGGTTAATGTGTGCAGAGGTATGGATACATATGTTAGTACCGAAGCCTCTCATGTGCAGACATGGCTATGTAAGGAAAATGCATAGAGAGACAAATTCAGCATATACTCAGTCCCAGCATTTGTTATCTGTTTTTGTATGCATGATTACATCTATAGTTTGTTCAAAATCTCATGATCACATTTGCAAGCCATTTTCTCTGTTAGATCGCAACAATTTGTTTGCATGCAGCCATAGAATATCCATGATGTTAGAGAAATTTTTTCACTGAAAAAGAAAATAATGTGTAGTTTTTTCCTTCTTTACAATATATATTTTTATCATGAAACCGTCTTGGTAGACTTTTGAAAGCTTTACTTTCATTAGTTTCAGCAAGTAATGCACTCTATGACTGGCTTAACAAGGGGTCAAAGAAAACCTATGAAATTTTATGATTTTCTCTCACAAAGTCTCACTCTTAGTGACCGGACGCCCAAAAAGAAACTGATCAAGGCTGTTTAGTCAAGGGTGCATCCACAAATGGGTGTTGAGTTTATTGTGTCATATAGCTAGCTTATAAAAGCTCACATAGACATCCATTTCAAAATGAATTTCAGACGCAAATTTATAACTATGCAGAAAGTTACCATCTTACTGTATTAGCACTTCCTCAGGGAATCTAAGATGGGTCATTTACATCATGATATTCATGACCCCGGGAAATGAACACGACTGGCGCTTGGTCTAGATAGAGCATCATTTAACCGTTGGATTAGACAGGATACAGAGTACACTCATGTCAAGCAAGGAAGGAAAATGAAAGTTGACGACTTTGATGTAGATGTCATTAGGCGTGAGGTCTTGAAAATGTTAGAGACAAATTATTTTATTGCTCTCCGAAAACTGAAATGACCATTGAAATCACAATGCAGTATTGACATTTCAAAAAGGAGTCTGTGGAAAATTGTAAGAGCCTTTCACTTTCATGAAAACTGTAGATAAAAAATATTATTTGTTAAAAGCCATATTTATTTGATTGCTAGTCGAAGCAAATACCTGAGGCAGATCCGTGAGCGACGGGTGCAAGGCTATGATATATTAGGATGAATCCTGGGGTAAATGCCCACCATACCTTTGCTAAAGAATGGCAGTCAAAAAACGGTGAACAGAAAAGGAACATTCAAAGCAGTAAAGGTCAGTGCATACACTTATGCAGGAAGCAGTGAAAAAGGCCTTATCCATGATGTTGGGCTTATTTTCCAATCAAAAAGTACGGATGGTAAGGACTGCCACACTGAAATTATTGGACATATTTTCCGGCTCTAGATGGATAATGATCTTCTTCCAATTGTGGACAGATTATTTAGCTCTCTTACACAAGAGGGGAAGAGGAATAAGAGGTCCCATATACACACTGCACATGCTAAAATGCCTTTGGGAGTTTGAATTTAAAAAAAAAGAAAAGATTAAGTCAGCTCTGCGGCTATCCTGTCTAAAGTTTAAACTTAGAAAGGCTACCCACAATTCAATCTTGCCATAATTTATGAAGTGTGAAGAAATATTAGTAAACAGTCATGATGATCACTGAAATCTTAGAATGAATATGATAGTATCTTTACCAAACACAGAACTTCAAGCATCAGTAAATTCAGTCTATACTGACACTGTGCCAGCTGTATGTGTTATAATCAAATGGAATAATATTTTTACCTTACTATAAGACATCTGTGGCAGTTTGTAGTGCACCTAAAAAAATATGAGAAAGTGCATGGGAACAAACTTATGGCTAGAAACTATTTTTCCTTCAATAATGGTAAATTCAAATGTGTTCATTTAAAATGTAAAAAAAAAAAATGTCATAAACTTTAAAAAAAAAAAAAAATTATCAGCAGATCAACTTGCTTGGATCTTTTATGGCAGCTGGGGTTCAGACAACCTTTGACTTCGAACACTCGATGCAGAACTGGACGATGAACCTGATGACAAATACACATGAACAGGTTAGAGTCAGAATGCAGGCTAAGTGAGAATGCAGGCTAAGTGAGAATGCAGGCTAAGTGAGAAGACATGCTGATGTTATTTATAAGATCCCCTGAGAAATAGGTATCTAGGAGCTTTATCAGTGATGTTACATCTAAACAGGAAATGTTCAGTCCATTATGGCAAATAGGCAGCCATCTATTAAAGCCTTAAAGCATCTTTTGCACCTGGGCATTCATTTTTTTCCAGTATGTGGAATGAAAGTAAATGGTTCTTCTCTCATCCAGATACAGACATAAAGCACTAAGTCTATCAGTTTGTGCTATGTATTTTATGTGGGATGCTTTCTGACTCCGTTGAGGGCATTTGTGTTGGGAGCTGTATATTAAGAGACAAAAATGGATGGCTGTTGCTACATAACTGGCAGTATCTTAAGCAGCAATGTGTGTTCAGCTGCTAGTTTGCTGTGCTACATAACTGGCAGTATCTTATGCAGCAATGTGTGTTCAGCTGCTAGTTTGCTGTGATATATAACTGGCAGTATCTTAAGCAGCAATGTGTGTTCAGCTGCTAGTTTGCTGTGCTACATAACTGGCAGTATCTTATGCAGCAATGTGTGTTCAGCTGCTAGTTTGCTCTGATATATAACTGGCAGTATCTTATGCAGCAATGTGTGTTCAGCTGCTAGTTTGCTGTGATATATAACTGGCAGTATCTTATGCAGCAATGTGTGTTCAGCTGCTAGTTTGCTGTGATATATAACTGGCAGTATCTTATGCAGCAATGTGTGTTCTAACTGCTAGTTTGCTGTGAGCTGCTAGTTTGCTGTGATATATAACTGGCAGTATCTTATGCAGCAATGTGTGTTCAGCTGCTAGTTTGCTGTGATATATAACTGGCAGTATCTTATGCAGCAATGTGTGTTCAGCTGCTAGTTTGCTCTGATATATAACTGGCAGTATCTTATGCAGCAATGTGTGTTCAGCTGCTAGTTTGCTGTGATATATAACTGGCAGTATCTTATGCAGCAATGTGTGTTCAGCTGCTAGTTTGCTGTGATATATAACTGGCAGTATCTTATGCAGCAATGTGTGTTCAGCTGCTAGTTTGCTGTGATATATAACTGGCAGTATCTTATGCAGCAATGTGTGTTCAGCTGCTAGTTTGCTGTGATTACTGCTTCTATTGATGATGAACTGCTATTGTGGTGGTGGTCTGTTATTGCTGACACCTCTGGATGCTGCTTTACGCATTTAATGTGTGTGTATGCTGTTGGCTTTGCTAGGGCCTGCAGCCTGTACAGCTTGTTTCACATGAGGCTGTAAAAGGTTGTGTGGTTTCACTGGCACAGAAATGGAGAAATTATAAGATTACCTATTTGCTGTGAAGTTGGAACTGTGCTAAAAACTGACATGTAAATATATCCTCTTCATAATTCTACAGCATACAAACTGGCTTCACATGATAAGGTGCTTTTTTATTGCTTATGTTGTCAAGAACATAACAACTATCATTTTCAAACTGCCATTCAAATCCATATAAGAAATGTCCATCCAGTTGTACAATTTATTTACTTGCTCTTCTCAGCAGTTAGACAAACTGAAGAGAATATGAAATCTAAAGAAAGCCTGAAACAAACTGTATATCATAGTAACTATTAGAAGTCACTAAATAATATACAAGAATATTGTTTTTACATTCATTGCCTTAAGAATAAATACTATTAAGGAAATGTAAGAAGGTTCAAGGTGTGTAGTGTAAACAGATGATGGTTTAAGTTATTTGTTTTGAAACTGGAGTGAAACAGTAATGCATTTTATCTCTCGTGTTATTTGGCATAACCACTGACCATGTGATGAAAACATTTTGTGTTGGAAACATCAGTATTGACTGGATGGGGAGCACACAATCTGAAGATTTAAATTTTGCTGATAATACTGTTTTGCTAAGTATAAACAACAAAGAAACACAGAAGATTTTGCAAGCATAGCATAAAAGGTTGGACTACAAATATGTCATGAAAAGATAAATATAGCAAGAGTGCCATATTTTTTAAATGTCACGCTGAAAAAACTAAGGGACAGTAAATAATTCCGTTGAACAGAAGACACAATTCTTTTAAAGATAAAATTATTCTGATAGAGTACTTGCTGTACAGAAACATGGTGGACTTAGACTGGTAGTCTTACTGACACTGCAAAACTACTTCAGCACAACACTACCTATGGTTGTCAGCACCTGCTATAGAGAAAGAAAAAATGGCTTTAATGGACACACACAATAGAAAGAAAAAAAAAAAAGCATATTTGCACAGAACTGAACACAGTTCTCTGGATGTGTAGTTTATGGAATGACTTACTGAAGAAAGTCAGATTAACAGGTGAAGGCTTAGCTGCACTCCTGCCACTGGAGGCGGTGCTTCCTCTTGAGCTTCCTTGAAGGCTGTGGGAGCCTCCAGCTGTACCTCTAACAGAGGGAGGGCTTAGATTAGCCTGTAATCATAAATGAACAGAGTGTATGTGTCAGTTGAGGTAGCAGGCAAGCTTGTTTTATGATACTAGTGCCAATCATCATCAATGTGATTACAATAAAAACACTAACAATTTACTCTAACAGTCAACTGTAGTCCAGCTGCCTCAGTTGCAGCTATTTTGTTGCGCTACCAGTAAACTGATCAATACAATACTTACAATTATCTAGAAACAGTTTGATGAACAATGTAGTGTTTTTCACTACATTAAATGAAATAGTTTCCCCTTTTACCTTTAAAAAAAAAAAAACAATTTCAGTCCTACTATCAAATCTCCATAGCACGACAAGAAATAAAATCAGCAGTTTGTTATACATTTATAATACAATATGAAAGATTCTAATGACATGTGCAAATATTTCTTTAGTCAATAAAACACACTATTCCACATGAAGAAAAACTACATGCAAGCAAATCAGCAGGTAACAGAGTGAGTGACCTTATGTTTTGACATCTGCCTGTGGTTAGTGAAAATCTTCTCTGTGTTATGATCTGAACAGCACAAACCAAGACAGTGCCTATATTTGTGCCAAAATAAAATATTCGAAGACATCACTAACACACAGTAAACTTTACAATGAACAATCTCCATGCCATTTCCACATAAACAATTTATCAGTTCACTTAAGATATTATTGTGTAATTATACCTGGCTAAAATATAGCTGGACAGCATCCAACATCTCCAGGTTCTGTGCAGCAGCATCCCCAATTACCTTTACAATATTCTTGATGAAATCTCGTAATTCTCTAACTCTGAAGTCCTTCTGTTTATAAGAAAGTATTCAAAGCATCAATGTGAATTCAGGTATTGGTCTAAAAAAAGTCAAGTAATAAGGTCCCTTTACAGGAAAGTGTCTAGACTCATATTTTAATAGACCAATCTGCCACCTTTACCTCTGAAGACTTCGCCTGGTACCCATTTAAGGTTGGGTTGATCTGGAAAAATTTGCAATGTGCAGGTTTAAACCCATGACCTTCAGATCCTCAGGTTAGCATCTAGCCACTACACCATAGTGGCTTTCTACTGATATTATTTTATCATAAATAAGAAAAACTCCACAGGGGAGCATGTACAGCCGGGGTCCACCGATCATCAGTAGAAAGAGCCCTCGTGGACGATTGTTTCGGCCTATTAAAACCTACACAATCTCGAAAGGTGGGCCGACCTGGGTCATGAAGCCAGGCCTCGGTCTTCCCCTGCTGTATTTTTCAGATGTTCTCGGACAGGGACAAGACGATATTGTGATTTGTACAGGTGTTGTGAGAGTTGTGAATATTTGTGGCTGCAGCAGCAACTTAGATCAGCCGACTATCTTACAACCATGGTGACAAGCTTTTGGTTGGTTTGTCGGACAGGTGTTAGACCTGGCATTTAGACTCTGGAAGTCGACAGAGAGACACTGGCAGACATTTATTGGAAACTTTAGCTTTAAGGGATAAGACGTTCTTTTCTACTAGGGACTTGGACCAGGTACTGAGGCCCATCCCCCACGATGTTCCGTTGCGTCAAGTGCCAGCTTGAATTTCTTTTAGCAGCTTTGCCCAGTTGTTTTGGTGACCGTTTACGCTTGTTTCCTTGCAAGCCCAGCTGCTTTAGCACATTGTACATGGAAGTGGAAATAAGACCTCTGGCATCTACCTCGATGGCAAAGATTTTAACTGCAAACGCCTCGTTGCTCCTCAGACCGGCCATGAGCTCACAGTACCTCTCGAGCGTGTACATGTGATTTTCTTCCATCCGTGACTTGTACGGCACTGTCAGCTCAATCATGATAAGCTGGTGTTTTTCCCCAGAGTGTAGAACTTTGTCAGGTCTTAGGCCAGTCTTCTGGACTGACTCTGGGTACCTTTAAAAACCAAGTAGGTTGACAGCAAGTAACCAGTCCCTCACACAGTCAAGTATTGATGGAGCGTATGCGACCTTGTTAATTTTACCTTTATAAATCTGCCCAGCCTTGGGAAAGCATATGGGGGTGACGGTAGGACTGGTACCAGCATTGGCCCTCATCCTGGCTTGGTCCACAATGTCCGCTAACTCTTTTAGGACTTTATTATGGTGCCAAGTGTATCTTCCCTGGTCTATGGCTTTTCTGCAAGCAGACAGTACATGCTCGAGTGTCTGCTTCAACTCTATACAGTGAGCATGTTGGGTGCCGCATGCCATTTTACCATGTTGATGCCAGACGGTAACACATCGTACGCAGATCTTACAATAAAGATCAGCCGCAGCGGGGCAATTTGCTAGTTTTGTTGGTAATAGACCACTGTAATGTAATATTTTCTTTCCTTTGTCAAGTTACAAAGTTATAATATTTGGTTTTCTATTTGAACATTAAATATACACCAGATTAGCAAATGCTACAAATTTCAAACATTTGGTTTTCTGTCTGACATTATTAAACATTCAACAAAGATTTCTTCTTCTTAAAGTCCATGCCCTGTGGCGTTGGTAATCCAAAACCTTCTGTTTCGTGTACTTTCAGTAAATTCTGACACAGATCATCTTCCATGCCACAATATCAAACTGTCTAGCATCTTCTCTCTCAGTCTCTGTGTGATTCCTTTCCCCTCTAATTTTCCCACCATCACAATAAAATCCAGTTTTCATCTCCTCATGATACAGCTAAAGAATGTGCCTTGTCTCCTCCTAATGTGGGCAACCAGTTCTCTTTGTGAGTCAGTTTCTTTGCGACATCTTCATTATTCATTTTATCTGTCCAGGGTAGTTTAAACTGTCCATAATTCACTGCATTTCAGGATAGGATTTATATAACTCTTGAGAATTCTATTTCTCATCTCAACTGACAAAGAAATACTGCACAGAATATTCTTCATTTTGTAGAATGCTGCCTTTGATTGAACTTTTTACATTTTACTTCTGTTATACATATTCCATCTGATGTTGTCAGGGTACCAAAGTACTTAAATGTATTAATTTGCTTGAGGATTGTCCCATTTAATTGGATGTTGCATTTTTGGAAGGTCCATTTTCTTTCTAATTACCGTTACTTCCATTTTTCTTGTGTTCAAACTAAGACCCTTGTGTTTTTTTGGTTCTTTTTTTTTTTACAATTAAGACCATCATTTCTTGCAGCTGTGTTTCATTTTAGCAGTCAAAACTGTATTAGCATATTGCAAGCTGTTAACGATTTCTGGTATCCTGGTACGGATTTAATTATTATTTCCCTGTACAGAATGAATAAACTGGTGGTGATATGTGAATATATTCACCTGCCCCGAAACTAACACTACAGCCCTGTATTACAGTGTGTTTGACGAATAAAATATAAGACTGTCCTACAACTTCGTATACTGTGTAAAAATATTATCTTCTTGTTATTGTATGTTAAGTAACACCTCTTCCTTTAAAAAATTATTCTCAAATCAACAGTTTACACCGTTCAATGATTTAACGTTTTTAAAAACTGGGCACGACGTTTGAAATGCACTATAGTTTCTGGTGGAAACCTATGGCTCCTTGAACGATGTTTTATATTATACTTTATCTAATGTTTGTAAATTTGTTTGTCAGTATCAACAAAGCACTAGTAGAAAATCAGATCTCTGCAGTGATTTCAAGTCATTCATTCTAAAAACGTCTGATCACAGTTTTGAATAAATACTTGGTTGTCAATTCTTATTGCTGCTTCTTGCCTTTACAGATTATAAAAAAAATTCTCAAATCCTAACGCTCTTACCTTAAACAATTTCTTTTTTTCCTTTATTTTTTTCATCAAAATTGTACAGCTGCTTATTTCAATCATTCTTTCTGAAATGACTCAAGATAAATATGGGGTTGTTTGTCTATTATCCACAGTTTTCCCTTTTTTTTTTTTTCATTAAAATTGTCCATTTAGTTGTATGGTATAATTGTCTAACAGCCCTCGACCATGTGTGGGTATCAAAAGGTCATCAGTTGTATATATCTAGTGTTCAAAATATCATTCAACAATTTTATCAACACTTCTAAACCTAGTTCACTAATAGCTTTCAATTCTTCAACAGTGATGTTGTCTGGCCCTGGAGATTTACATTTCTTGATGTGGCGGGGGAGGACATCTACTGCTTCTGTTTTCAGTATAGGCCGTTCTTCACAATACTCATCATGATGTTATTATTATTAGGCTCTTGAATATACTCTGTCCATCTTCCAATCACTTTCTCTCTGCTCTATAACATTTCACCCTTTTTTTCGTTTTTAAGCAATCAGTTGCTGTATATTTCTTAAACCTGACAATTCCTGTATCTTTTTATACATGTCTTGTGTGTTGTCTCTTTGCTCTTCAATTTCTTTGCATTTACTAATTAACTGAGCTTTTTTGTTTTTGCTGCACTGCATTTACCTACAACTCTTTATGTAATCTTTTATATTCACATTGATTATATATAATTTTTTTTTTTTAAATAATTTCCATCAAATGTAACATTTCCTCTGTCATCCTTTCTTCTTTGCTGTCTTCTTTACTGCTGGTATTATTTCTTATGATATCTGTTGTAATGACTCTTTTAGCATTTGCCGTTGTTCATCTATACTGCTTATTTTTTTCAACAGCACTGTATCTATTTTGTAGTGATGGTGTATCTCTTACTGATTTTTTGATCTGACTCAAGCATTGTCAAATCTGGTTTGATATTTCTTTGCACCTTTTTTTAATTTTCTCAGCATTATCCTAAGTTTTCCAATGACTGGCACATGGTCACTATTACAGTCTGCACCTGTGCTTGTTCTTACCAACAGAAAACTATTTCTCTATCGGCTGTTTATAAGTATGTAATTAATCTGGTTCTGACAATTATTTCCTGGGTTTTTTCACGTCCACAGGCATCTAGAAGTTTAAAATGTTTCCAGTTATCATTTTATGTGGCCGAGCCCATTCAGCCAGTAACAAAGATGTACATGCTACAAATTTCTAAGGTCTGATAATTCTGTCTAATAAAATGTAAAAGTAAAGTGAAGTTTATATATTGCAAACAACTTGTTCAGTTTTGTAACTAACAATACATTGCCTTAAAATAGATTTCAATTTTACTTTTTCTGCACCTGTAATGTACACATTTGTTTTAACTGCTAATATATGTGTGTTTTTAATTAACAATACAGCAACTTAGCTACTGTCTCTTCCTTATTTGTTATGCACACATTTATAATTTCTAACATTTGTGCAAGATATCTGCTAGTATTTGGGTTATTCTCGCAGCACTACTGACATGTCCATAACAACACCAAGGTGCCCAGATTCTATGCTCACATTTACATCCGCCACCTGTGGTTAATTACACCAGTCCTATGCTGATTGAAAGACCTTTTACATGTTTGGTTGTGTCTCTCAGGTCTGGCTGTACTGATCTTACTCTTAAATCTCTCATTCTTAGCAGGGATGTGGATGAACGGTGTCCCTAAAGTCATCCAATCATCCTATTTCTCCAAGGGCATTAATAATGTTAATATGATCCATGGGTGACCACCTGTATTTTCTATATTTATTGTTTGACATTTACAACTACACATCCTGATTCACAACTGGGCCATGGTATTTAACCATAAATCAGAGATGGCTTTGACTTTAAAAAAAAAACTTCAGATGAAAGTATTGGTTGCCCGATTTTATAATGCTAAGACCAAGATTTAGTATATGTGAGGTAATTAACCACTGAATTTCCTAACTATGAAAATAATTTTAATGTTGCCTTTCTTGTGCTAGATACATTGCATAAAATTCTCAACAGTACTAACCTCTTCTGGTAGTTCGTTCTTGAGTTTTCTTTGAGCTTTTATGCTTCTTGACATGCGTACATTCTGAAATATAATTTATATACTTCTCCATTAACTTAAGCTGATTATTTTAAGAATAATTTGACAGAAAAATTAAACAAATGGGTATACAAAGCCCAAAACACTGATTTTCTTAAAGAGGTCGAGACAAAGAGGAAACTTTGCATTGTTGTTTGCCTTTATGATGCAAATTTTTGGGCAGTTTAGATCAGGGGAGTAATTTTCTTCGGCCTGAAAATATAGTGTTAGTGTCTAGCCTGAATTATGCATTAGATTTTTTTATCTGCCGTGACATAAAAACTTTGCAGGTTAGATATTTTTATATTTGCCGTGACATAAAAACTTTGCAGGTTAGATATTTTTTTTTTGCCCTGACATAAAAACTATGCAGGTTAGATATTTATACTTGCCCTGATAGAAAAACTATGCAGGTTAGATATTTATACTTGCCCTGATAGAAAAACTATGCAGGTTAGATATTTATACTTGCCCTGATAGAAAAACTATGCAGGTTAGATATTTATATTTGCCCTGATAGAAAAACTATGCAAGTTAGACATTTTTATTTACCCTGATACAAAAAATTTGCAGGTTAGATATTTATACTTACATTGACAGAAACACTATGCAGGTTAGACATTTATACTTACATTGACATAAAAACTCTACAGGTAAAAAAAAAAAATTTTCTCTCTTGACATAAAAACTTTGCAGGTTAGATGTTTATTTTTGCTCCTACAAAAAAACTATCAACTTAGTGAGGGGCCTGCCTCAAGAAATGTTTTTCGCTGTACATACTGGGACATGTTGGGGTGAAAGGAAATGATAGAGCCAACAAACCGGTGGTGTCTGCAGGAGTTGATAGAGGAAGAAGTATAGACAAGGCAGACAATTAAATACACTACATTCTAGAGACTTTGACGAAGGAGTCAGAAATGATGACTTGCCTGTTGCGAATGGGTATTAAACAAGGACAAGCACACAGAAACTGTTTGTGGGCAAAGGAAGAAGATATATCAGTCAGCTTGTACCCGGTATGTTGAGCATGGAGTCACTGAGATGGCTGCTGCTTTGGAGTGGAACATGAATGGGTTGGACCGATATGCTAGCGTGTCAATAATAAGTGTAACTATGGAGGTGAGGGTGATAGCAAAAGCAAAAGAACTGAACAGAAACTCAGATTTTTCCCTATGTGTGTTAATAACTGATTCTATAAAGATAGTGACAGGATAATTTATTGGACTGTTTGGAGTCTGACAGAAATTAGGTTCATTTTTGTGCCAGGACACGATAGGCATGGGAAACACTACAAACCAAGCCAGTTTTCTCAATGCTCTCAAGGAGACAGTAAAATAAGATGATTCAGAAGATGAGGGTAAACCTTGACAAAACTACAAATACTTAATGCCAAAAGGGGAGTTGCCAGACATTTATACTATAAACGTACCAAAGAAGAATTTTAAACCAAAATAAAGATATTCAACTTCAGTGCCTACAATAATTTCTGTCATTACCTTACCATCATTTATTTTCAGTCGATTAAAATGGAGCATCTTTAACTATTTAAATGTTTAAACTATAACACTTGAAAAAATTGCACACTGTACAGAATTTATGGGGGGAGGGGGGGGGGATGCAGTAAAAAAATTTTAATAAATGACACAATATTTAAATAAACTTTTAAATAAGAAAAAATACAATGGAAAAACTTACTTGTTTGGCAACTCTTTCAATTTTAGCAATCTGGTCTTCTGACTCTTTGTTAAGCTGCAGTACTTTGTTCTGTGCGAAATAAATATAGTAAATACTAATTGTTCACTAACTGTGCAAAAAAACATTATTATTATAATGACAGAGATAAGAGATTGTCTGATTTTCTGTGGCAACCTCTGCATTAAAACTGACTGCTATGGTAATGAAACAGATGTAGACACCTAATAACCCTGTTCTATTATAGCAATTTGAAACGTATGCTAGTCTCATTTTGAGCAGCTTCAGATTTGGTAAATAATGTCACTGACAGAGTAAAATATGTTTGTAAGGAATTATTTAATGAAATGGCTGAAGGTAACCTAATGATGATGTTTACAGATACAGAAGTCTTAATTATGGAACTAATAACAGCTAAATGAGACACACCAGTTTGTTAACATTGAGAGCAGACAAGGCTTGTGTAAGTTACCTTCTTCTCATCTATAATTGCAAGATAAGCTTCCTCATCCTTGGTTAAGTTGTCCATTGTTGTACTCATTGTCTATGAATAGTAAGCATTTGTGTGCATCAGTTTAAATAGGTTGAAAAATGTCAACAAATGTTATTAAATATTGTTAAATGCATCTTCTTTATTAGACCAAACATATGATCATATATTAACGTGTGAATGTAGTAGAATCAGGAATAACTCTGAAAAAAAAGAAAAAGACTGGAGAGTGAGTTGGTGATCCCCTTGTTTAATTACCATTTCATATCATAACACAAGACAGGGGTCATAGCAGTGCCACAATGCAAATACAGTATACAGTCCTCATCCTCTCTGTCCCCAGAAATGCCCACAAGTGTGCTAATACTGCATCTTGTTGACACCTTAAAGACTTCTTATATTTGCTCTAAACTGTTGCCTGGAGGATTTTAACAGGGTGACATGACATGTGGTATGAAAAAATTATCAATCTTTCAACATTTTGCCACTGAAAAAAGTAGTTCTTTCTTTCTATATGTATTTACTTTGTCTCTGTCACGAATTTGATGAATTAGTGGGTCCAATAGGTATGGCTGAAATTTTAAATGGGGAAGGTATCAATGACACTAGCTCCTAGGTAAGAGGTCATTGTCAAGGGGGCTGTCTTCAGTGCATAAATAAGGAGAATTCACAGGATGATGATTACAGACTATGTGTACTTCCCAGGACAGCGTGGATAACTCATAGATTAACTGTAAAGAAGCTCCCATCAATGATTCAGCCTTTTGTGCATTAGCCTTTACCATGGCTGCACATAGCAATATGTAGATAAGATATAAAACAACCCACAGTCAATTGAGATCTACCAGAGATGCAAGGGTGGACCAAACTTGTTGCACCATCCAATAATCCTTGCTCCTCACTGTGGCTCTTAATTCCAGTCAGAGGGAACTCATCTTTTTTACCGATAACTTGCTCAAAGCTTCTCATCCTGGGGCGAACTTATCCTTTATTGCTGATTACCGGCTCAAAGCTTCTCATCCTGGAGCAAACTTATCCTTTATTGCTGATTACTGGCTCAAAGCTTCTCATCCTGGAGCAAACTTATCCTTTATTGCTGATTACCGGCTCAAAGCTTCTCATCCTGGAGCAAACTTATCCTTTATTGCTGATTACCGGCTCAAAGCTTCTCATCCTGGAGCAAACTTATCCTTTATTGCTGATTACCGGCTCAAAGCTTCTCATCCTGGAGCAAACTTATCCTTTATTGCTGATTACCGACTCAAAGCTTCTCATCCACTACCTGCCATATCAGGTGATGGGAAAACAGTTCTCTCTTGGCCTCAGTGCGACAATCAGTATGTCTTACTAACTCATCTCTGGGTCCAACTCATACTGCCTTACAATCAGACTACAATGTTGCCTCCTAATCCAACCATTTTGGTCTTAAGAGCTTGATTACAATCTACCGACTCGTATTTATTCTCTGTCACTCTACACAAAAAGAACTACTAAAGAAGAACTAGAGAGGAACCATGAATAGTCTTGATCACTTCTTATATAACTGGCCAACTGTGGGGTCACACATGAATGTCACACATGGGTTTAACGCTTAATGCTGCATGAAGTTCAATTTCATTGCCTTCATGAGCTTCAAGTGTGAGTCGATTAGGGGTATAGTCTGTTTCAGCCAGAATTCTAATCTGGACTAACTATGGTCTGTTTCACCCTAGACAAAGTGTGGAAGATGACAGTCTCTAACATAATTTATTATACATATTAGTTTTATGTTCCTATTTCCTGTGCATAATTTTGCTAAAGCATCTGCATAGACAAGCTTAATGCCTCCATTCAGGTTTACAGTGAGAGTCCAACTCATTCTCATATAAGAGAATGGATACTATAAGGGACTTTAATGGTTTGATTTTGACATAAAAACTGATACTGCACAGTTCTTCATGTTTAGAAACATGAAAATAAGCACCTGTGACCTTAGTACCTCTACCATGGACTTCATTTCTTGCCTAGACAGAGCAGTTTCAGAACCAGGGTATCAGGGCAGACCCATACTGGCATGCATGGTTATCTTTGTAAGAATAGCATGTCAAAAACATAATTGTTCCTCTCTTTATTAGAGTTTAAATATTCTATAATTTTCAAAGCATATGACATAATTCCATACATGCAAATCATCTTCCAATTCTTGTATTTGACGTCGTTTATATTTAAATTTATCCATGACTGCTCGGAACTGTTCATCCAACTCATGTTTCTCTTCCATCTCATTACCTGGAATAATAAATAATACAACAAACATGTTTCAGATTTACCCCCAAAAAAATGTTTGAAAAAGTAAAGCTACTGTAATAACCAACTCTACTCAGTCGTTTCAGGGTCATGAATATGGTAATGAGGAGGCTGATAGATTAGATGCTGCCGCTACACTAGGTGATGAGCTATTTTATGATAAAGTGGATGTGGTGAGGCTTTCAAGTAAACAGTGTGGCAGAACAGAGAGGACATCTGGACAAAACTGTTCAGCTGGGAGAGCCTGGATCATGTTCTATTTGCAAGAGAAAAAACAGGCAAACTTTCAATCAGGCTGCAACTGGAAGCATCAGTATGAGAACTCCATGATGGCTGCTGAGGAAGTGATGGATCACGTATGGGTATGTGCTGACTGCAGTGATGTCAGTGTTTGATTCATTGATTCATTCATTTATACTGGCAAGTTTTCATGGCAGACATTTTTAAATGGTTATAAAAATGTTATAAAATAGAGTAATCTCACTCACTTGCTATTACAACAAACTATGTTAAGATATTTAACCTAAATGTTTCAGTGGTCAAAGTCATACCTTGTACGTACAAAGTACTAAAAATAGTAAAATCAATCGCAGGACTACATAATTATGTGCTCTCTCTCTGTGTGTGTGTGTGTGTGTGTGCATGCGTGTGTGCGTGCGTGCGTGTGTGTGTGTGTGTTTAGGTATGTATGTATGTGTATGTGTATGCACCCACGCACCAGCAGACTAGCAACTCAGTAAAGCATCGTTTAATGAGAATTCAATTTCAAAAGATGAACAGATATATTACTGTTTGTTGTTGTAATTAGGGCACACTGAGGGATATGTCAGTGGAGAAAAAATGAGAAGTTTCATGCTAGTGGCACATTACTTTCTATAAAAGTTACAGGGATTATGAACATTTAATTAAATACCAAATACTTGAGATCAGAAACACAATTATGTGTATACATGGCATGAATTTATTGCATTCCACTGATTCTACATAACTCAAATAGGTATTACTTAAATATACTGATTAATCTTACTTTTCAGACAACAGTGAAGCTCTTGATTTGCTCTTAATTAAACATTCTAGTTACATGCAACAGTGAAACCTCTCAACCTTTTTCTTACTAATACATTGTGGCTAATCTTACTTTGTGAAACACTCAGGTTACTTCTTTTTTAAACAGTGAGAATAATTTTAGTTTACATATAACAGTAGAATGTAAAAACTGTAACATTTGTCAATTTCCAATTAACATCCTCCTATTTCAGTGACTGAAACATTGTGTTAGCAACTCATTCTCCAGTATTATTCTCCAATATTATTTACCAAACAAATACAATCTGCAACTTATGTTCTCAAATCTCATCAGTAGAATTCCTAGTCTGCTACATACAGGTTTGAATGGTACTTGTCTGAAACAAGTTGAAGAATTTAAATATCTAGGAAGTATATTCTCAAATAAAAGGAGAATGGATCTGGGAAATAGAAAAAATACACCAACAAGCCAGTGCACTTATATACCAACTGACACTGTTATCAAGCTATAGGTAAAAGCGCCAAGAAACAGATTATCAAAAGATATTCATACCATCACTGTGCTACCAGTGCCAAACTTAGACACTATCAAATGCTAAGCTACCTAAAAACAACTTGTGATATGAGATGCCTGTGAAAAGCCGCAAATCTAATCACATGGGACAAAGTAAAGAGGATACTATAAGACAAACTGTATGAACATCAGAATGCACCAAATTCATTGAGAAACAGAAGATGAAAAGGTTTGGTCATTTGGTTAGAATGCAGCCAGAACAACAACCAACATGGGTGTTACACATGAAAAGATTGGATGTGAAAGCAAGAGGTCGCCCTAACAGAAGACAGAATGTTGATATTAAATACCTTTTACATTGACTCAGAATGACACAGCCATTGCTACCCATCAAGCAATGGATGACAAAGTGTTCCTTCCCAGAATGCTTAATGGCAAAAGTGGACATGATGATGATTTTGATGAATTCAGTCTGCAATAAATTTGTCTAAAAGATGCTAGCAAACTCACTTCCTTCCATGATTTTGTTGAAGCTCTTTCTGTACTGTTCATTTCTACCATTCATCAACTTGAGTGTGTTCTCTAGGGCAAGGATTTCCTTCTCAGCTTTTCTGATTCTAGCATCAAGGTCATCTCCTTCTCTCTAATAGAAGAGAAATAAAAATACAGTCAGTGAAAGTTAGAGTTTAAAAAAAGGTTTGTCTGTCCTGACACAAAAGAACAAGAAAATATTTATGTGGAAAGATGAGCAGGGATGTGTGTCATATTTTCCACTTGTATTTGGCCAGAGTTTATATCCTTTCCCTGTTTTATTATCATGTATTATGTCTTATATTGATCGATAACTAGTTCTATTTTGTGAGCTGCTTCTTTTAACTCTTTGAGTCCCAGCAAACGCATCATGCGCTAATTGGTTACTACCTGGTGGCCCAATCGACACATAACAAGTGAAGGTTTTTAATTTACCACTTATCGGTAATTACACGCAAACCGCTCAATTTAAACTTCCTTTTTGGTTCTCAAGTGTGTAGTGAACATACGTGGAGTGCATTCGTTTGGGTCTGGTGAGTTTTTAATGCTATAAATCTATATCTGTGTGGTCTACTACATTACCAAACAGTTGTCTAAAAACAATATGCTGGATCAGTCATCGTCTTCACGCCCAGCAAAGCGATTTACTGATTTAGAAGAATCAAATTTAATAAAACAGTGGATCGATCAAAGCGATGTGGAGTTGGATAATGATAGTAGTGATGTGGAATTTCCCCAACCCGTTGACGGGTCAAGTTCTGATGAGGAACATGAGCATAATTTACCTCCTGCTTAGAGGACAACACTGACTAATTCTGCCATGGCAACACAAGAGAATAGTGCTGCTGAAGCACCTCGTAACGCGACAGCAGCTAGTCCAAATGTCAGCGCTTCTACTACTAGTACTGCTAGTAGTAAATGCCAGAATGATAGTCGTAGTCAGTGAAGAGGTGTTACTGAGGGAAGAACACGATCAAGGTTTCTTATCAAGGCTCCATGTCCAGCTGGTGTGACAGAGCAGTGGAGAATATATGTTGTCGTGTTATGGTAGTGTTATTAAAATTGCTATGGAACAACAACTATTGCACATTTTGCTGTAATATTGGCTGTGCATACTTACATGTGGTGTACCTTCTTTTTTTGATGCATTTTGGATATACTATATCAAGAATTTTGAGATCAGCATTTGGGTAAGTGGAAAAAACTTGTTTATAATTTACAGCTCAAACTAAGTCACTGTTTTCTTTACCAAATACTAACTAACAGTATAATTGTTTGTTGTAGCAGGATGCTAATATTAATCGTTATCCATTTATGTTCATTTGCATGTATTATATGTGTATGTTGCACATCAGCTGAAGTTGTGTGGTTTGTTTTAAAGTGCTGCACTTGTTAAAAGTCAAAATCATAACTCCCACCCCCCCCCCCCCTTCTCTTAGGCCTCTGATGCAAAAAACCCTGGGACTCAAAGAGTTAAGAGAGTCAATGTTTTTACAATCTCTAGTTGATTTTCTCTCCAACTATATCAATGTCATATGCATAACCAAGTATTCTTGTAGCTTCCCAGTACACTCTTGTTTCAATTTCCTTATAATTTTCTCCACGGCCAAGTTAAAAAAAGTGGAGACAGAGCATCGCCTTGCTTCAAACTATGTTATTTTAAAAGGGTCTGACTTTCTGCCTTTATATGTTACCATATTATAAGTGTCTTCCATACATTGTTTGGTCATAGTGATTAACTTCTTTGGTATTCTAAAGTTATTCATAGCATTTCATAAACTGTTTTTATATACATTATCATACGCCTTTTCAAAATCCACAAAAACATTATGTACATCTCTTCCATATTCCCAATTTTGCTCTGCTATATGCCGTAAAATGAATACCTGATCTATTGTTGATCTGTTCTTTAGGAAACCTGCTTGGTAATCTTTCAAAATGTCTTCAGCGTATGGTTTTAGTCTGTTTAGCAGTAGCACCGATAGTATCTTATAGCTTGTAGATAATAGTGATATTCCTCTCTAGTTTTCACATTTATACTTGTCTCCATTCTTAAAAACTGGTATTAACAATGACATTTTTTACTCTTGGGGTAATTTCTCCATTTTCCAAATTATTAATTCATATATCTTTACATGACCACCTTCTTTTAAAAGTTCAGTTGCAATTCCATCAGCACTAGTTGCTTTATTATTTTTAATAAGCCGTGTTATGACATTCAGTACTTCTTCAAAATCAGGCTCTTCAATATTTGGTTCACATGTTAGTATCTCTTCCTGTGGGTAAGTATTTGGTGGAGTTTCAAATTTTAACAATTCTGTAAAGCATTCCTTCCATCTGTTAATATTTCTTTATTATTATTAATCATGTTCTCACTGTGATCTTTTAAACTATAAATGCAGTGTTGATGCCTTCATTTTACAGCCTTTAGTTCTTTAAAAAGTTTTCTGGATATGTTGTTTTGATAGTTAGCTTCCATATCCATGACAATGTTGTTCGTGTATACTTGCTTTTGCTGCCTGACTACTTTTGTAGCTTCTTTACATTCTGTTACATAGTTTTCTTCATTTGGTATGCTACTAGTATCATTTAGCCACATCTGGCATGTTTTTTTATTGCTGACTGCTTCTTCACATTTTTTATCAAGCCATTTGTTCTTTCTGTTTATGGTGGATACATCAAAACATTTTTCTGCAGTGGTTTGAATTATATTTTTAATATCCATCCATGTTTGATCAACGTCTTTCTCTGATGGATTTTTTTAAATTTAAATTTTATTTTCATTCATCTGCAAAATTCTCTGATATGGATGATTCTTGTAATCTTTCTCTATTGTAATCTGGATGTGATCTTCACAACTTGTTGTGGAAGGATTTTTGAAGATTGATTTTCAATTTTGCGCCAATCGGGTCGTGATCACTATTGCACTCAGCTACTCTGTAGCTTCTAACTTGTAATTTTGATGCATTTCTATTATTTATTAAAATGTTATTTACTTGATTATAAGTTATCTTGTCACACATGACTGCCAGGTTTTTTCATGTATATCTTTTCTTTGAAATCTGGTACTACTTATCTGTTGTCTTTTGGCTACTGCAAGTTTGAATTTGTATCCATTATCATTCGAATCTGTATGTAGGCTATCATAAGATCATAAAAATTGTCTTTAATATCATCTTCTTTATCTTCTGTGGATGCATGTACATTAACCATCGTTATATTTTTCCATTTTCCTTTCATTCTCAACTTATTGATCCCATCATTACCAGTTTAGGTAGCCTGGTCAGTCAAATGTGTGGTGTGGTGAAACAGGTGGGCGGTTATTAATTATGACTAAAGAAAGTGGGAACCTCAATAATATATTGATCATGTTGGTCTTTCTTACTGTTTAGACAGTATAAGTTGCAGCAGCTTGGTCAGTAAAATTTGTGGGGGGATTGAACAGGCGAGGGAGGGTAAGATCTTCAGGTGCACTTAAGGGCAATGACTAAACATATGGCAGCAGTGGAAACAAATTTGAAGTAGAGGACAGGAGACTAAAACAAGGTGATGCCCAGCAATTAAATATAGGATACTGGTTAGAACCCTCTTTTCAACATTATGCTGAACATATTATTTGATGAGGCCTGCGACAGCTTCAAATCACTTTCATCTATCCTAGGATTCAGATATGCAGAATTGGTTATACCAGTGTTTCAAATTGTGGGTTCTACAATCCCATTGGAGGTGATAGGGGCAGTAATTAGATCATTCAAATTTGGAAAGTGGGAGTGGGGGGGGGGGGGGGGTGCCAACAGTCCATATAAATAACCCTTAGTCCCAACTGGTGGGGGGGGGGGGTAAAGGGGTGGTGTGGTAGGAGTCTCCTAGACAAGTCTTTATATAGTGGGTGTTCCTGGCCCCTTGGGGTGTTGGGGCAGCTGAGGGGGACATATCTGAGAGGTTGTGGAATGGTCCAGGGGATGTTAAGAGTCTCAGGTGCGGGTACGGGCAATGGTCAAATAAATGGCAGTGGTAGAGACAAAAGAGAAGTAGAGGATGTGAGAATACAATTTTCTTTAACTATTCTGGGCAAAGCCAGACAATTTAATCTAGTAGTAATTTATAGATGTATGTCACCAACTTCATTAGGACAGCAAATGAAGGAGATAATTAAGAAATCATGACTGTCAATGTATGATCCAGCTAGACATCTTAAGAAGTCATTTCTACCCCTTAGTTAATTTAAATATGTATGTTCTTTCTGTCCAAGTTGGTATTTAAATGCTTTTGTCCTGTATATACACATATATACAACACACACACATATATATAGATATAAATAGTTGATATTTAAATGCATTTGTCCTTGTCATCTTAGGATCTTTAGGTCAGGACAGTCATTTTTTGACTCCTTCTTGACATTTTTTTCTATAATAATTATGCAAGAAAAACAGATTAAAAATCAGTTTGAGCCATAAAAAAGGGTGATTGTTTAAATCTTTCCCATCTGTAAATTGCACAAGCAATGTCTTTGCTCTTGCACAAATCATCTTATCTCCTGTTGCCCAAGCATTTTGTTCTCTCTTGCACAAAAAACTTGTTTACTCTGACAGCTTGTTTTCTTTTGCATAACCATGATTTTATCTTTTGACAAATCCCTTTTTATCTCTTACATAAATATCTTGTTTGGCCTTCAAAAAAAAAATTTGCTTTCTCTTGTAAAAACATATTGTTATCTCCAGGATAAACATCTTGTTTACTCTGGCATAAAAAGCTGGTTTTCTTTTGTACAAAAATCTTGTTCTCTCTTGCACAAATCTTGTGTTTACTCTGCATAAAAAGCTTTCTTTTTTTCTTTTGCATAAACATCTTGTTATTTCTTCCACAAATCCTTTGTTATCTCTTGCATAAATATCTTGTTTTCTCTTACACAAACAACTTGTTTTCTTTTGTACAAACATCATCTTTTCTCTTGCAAAAATATCTTGTTTTCTCTTGCACATACATCTATTCTTCTCACAAGCAAGCATCTTGTTTTCTCTTGTATGTTGGTTATTACTTGTTCCCTTGTAAATTAAAATAAGTTCCTCCATTTATTTATTGGTTTGCTGTTATTGCAAACCCTGTCAAAACAGCTCTCACATGGATACCAGAAAGAAAGAGAAAAAAGGGGTGCCCAAAAACAACATGGAGACGAACAATGGAAAGTAACCTGAGTGCGGCATCTTTGACATGGAAAACTGCACTGAAGATTGCACATGACAGGAAAGCATGTAAAGTTCTCTTTGAAACCTCATGTGCCACTAGGCATAACGAGAACTGATGATGATGATGATGATGATGTTAATGCAAACAGATTTGAGGAAAAGGATCACCATACTAACCTGTAGCTCCTCCTTCTCTTGTGCTGCTTTAATTACATAATATGCCTGTGACCTTTCCTCCTCCCCTTCTGGTGGTGCCATGGATACTGTATAAATTTCATATCTAAATGAAAATGAAAAGTTTCATGCAGATACTTTATTGAAAGACAAATAAATTAGCATAGCTGAAACAATATGTAAATAAAAACAGGTGTTCTAAGATAATTAAAAAACAGTGGTCAGGTGTTGGATTCTCAGAAGTAACATTACAGAATTATTTGTTTTCCTTCAAATAAATGCTGTTCTGGAGTCAACGGCACCACCTAAAGCAGGTACAGTGGGAAGTGTTTACAAGGTGTGGGTGCCACTCAAGACCCAGGAAAAAAGGCAAGATGAGTTAGTTAAAGAGATAATAACAGGTACCATCAGTATGGAGACTTTTTGCTGGCTGTTGAGGAGTGAGACCTACCTAGCTAATATGAAATTGTCCTGAACGTTGTGATGTAGAATCTTCACCATATGACCCACAAGATGACCTAAAGCAGGCAGCAGAGATTTCTTTAAGACAGTAAATACACCTTGTTTGATACCAACGACACCACTGCTTATGTGCCACTGAGTTACCAGAGCTACAGATGCCTAGAAAAAAACCTCAGTAACTCTAAGTCAGCGTCTGTGGCTTAGGCGTTGTGAATGAGCTTCATAATGCTGGGGTGCCAGGTTCGATCCCAGCTGCGGGCCTTGCATTGGTTTCAACAATGGTATGGAGAAGCCGACCGTCCAGAAATAAATGGCAAACTACTGGATGTAAATTTGCCTAGAAAAACAAGAACAACCAAAAAATGCTGGGGTTGGTTCTGCAACGTCCTGTAAAGGATTCGCAACTAACTTAACTTTTAACTCGCAGTGACACACAATCTTAGTTAATTTACTTTATATTTATAATACAAAGAAACCTCTGAGAAACATAGCGAGAAAAGATTTTTGACAGCCCTTTAAAAATTTGTTCTTTTGCCTTTCATCTTTCAGTGGAGCACAGGCTCTCAAGCAACTCAACCTATTCTCTTCATAAATGTATTCATGATTGCTTGAATTTATGCAACTAACATTTTCTACAGAATAAGTTAGACAGTCTTAACTATGCTTAACCACTTGTAGACAGTCGTAACTATGCTTAACCAAATCTTTCATGTGGTAGGTTACAGTGGGGCAAGTGTAGGTGAGATGATGAGACACACACATACCAGTCAGCAAGGCAACTGATGATAAAAATGTGACCTGGTGAAATGATGTACTTCTTACGTAAACAATGAATGCAGTGAAACATTCTCATTTTATAAAAGCTCACCTTTTTCTCATTTTGTCAATTTTAGATATTCTCTCATGCAACTCTGCACTGATCTGCTGCCTTTCTTCATCGGTGGCCTTAATCTGAGCCTGCAACATTTCTTTGTGGATCTTAATTTCCAGATGGCGCTCTTTCATAGCCTAGAGTTTATGGAAGATTTTGCAACACTAATGCAATTATTAAAATGCATAAACAGGGAAATTCATTTTTAATTCTGCAAATTTGCGGTATACATTTATTTATGGGAATGGATGGAGCTGTGTTCTCCCTTTCCCCCTCCCCAACAAGCACATTGTTGGAGGCAACTAACTAGGGGTGTTTTCTTTACAGTCCGAGTGCATCTTCCTAAGAGTTGAAGAATCAACAGTCAGCATACAAATAAGCCAGATCTGTTAAAATGGATGTGCATGTTAAACTCAAGTTCTGGAACACGACCAAAGTCCATATCTGGATGAACAATCAAAACTTTCTGCTGGAGTTTACAGCCAGTGAAAGCTAAGATGAAGAAGAAGAAGAAGTTCTACAAAATACAATAACTTGTGCTAACTGAAAAGGCCAATTCAGCCTAGTCAGTTGTGAACCATTTTCTTTGTCCCAGTTGTGTTTCACCATATTTCTGACAGGATTGTCTCAGGAAGTATGGTATATCTATGTTTCTTTTTGCTACTATTTTTTGAAAATAGACATTACTAAAGGGAGTGAAATACAGGAAGAAACAGACATGTGTGTCCATGTGAGTGTGTGCATATGTGCATGCATTCACTTGTGACTGTGTGTGCGTGTGACTGTGTGTGCGCCTGCATGCATGCAGTCATGTGTGTGTAGTTTATTTTCTTTACAACACTAATTAAACATAAAATATTCAATTACTATAACCGTACCCGCAATGATTATTAATTTCTCTTAGTGTATATGTTATACTTTACTAATCCTTAGGTGTAGTATTATAACAACTTTAACGTATCCCGAAATGAGGGGAATTTTTCTTTTGTTTTGATAAAGCCAGTCCATACAAATGGGTTCCTGGTCATTCCAGACTGTATACTATTTGTCTAGGAAAGAAAGGTGATAAAAATGGAACCTGGTCAGTCTACCTAATATATCATGGCGTACAATGTGCCGAGGCTTCACACCTCAACAGCACTATCTGCAGTAGGACCCCCTTTAACTTATCAACAAGGTCAACAATTATACAATTACGTAGTGAATCAGTGAATAGAATGTGTTATGGTTACATTCATAAAGACATTTTTAACTAAGTAAGTATGTTTTTGGTGACCTTGGTTCTGTTATGCACAAAATCAATTTCATGCTAAATGGAGCCAGTTTTAACATTGAGCTGTGAATTCCGGATAATTAATAAACAAGCCAAACAATTTATGAGGCTTTAGAAATGTGATTTTACAGAACAATCCTTAGAAATCCTTGGAGAGATTTTTTTTTTTAAAGCAGCCCATATGTTTTGAAACAGGTGAGGGCTTGAAGCCAAACTATCACAAACATAAGAAAGAGACAGTTGTCATTTTTTTTTTTTTATCATGCAAGGAAAGAAGGAAAATGAAATAACAACAATTTTTTGACAGCCTTTTGTCATAGCATGGAGGGGTGTCAACACATAAACTGATACATGCATTTGAAGATTGCAGGTTGTGCAGAGGAATGATCACCCATGCCAGTTGGGAAGGCACTTAATGATGATGAGCTATGCTAACAGAAAAACAATAATAACTCAAAATCCGAAATGTACACAGATCATTGGAGATGGAAAAAAAAGTCCTTATAGTCTTTGTCTTTAAATGAACATAATTTACCGTGTTCAGTTGCAACTTTCTCTTCTCCAGTGACATAATACCATCTACTTTGGAGTTCAGCAGATCTTGAAGCTTCCTGATCTTCAGTTTCAAAAGGTTCTCATCAACCATTAGACCCTGTGGGGAAAAAAAACTTTACAAACTTCAAGGACATTTTATCTGTAACTATGCCAATTTAAAATTCAAAAATGCCAGCCCTTCATTTCATTACAACAGTGAAACTCCAATGTTCGTCATTGATCTGTTCTAGAGGGAAGGACAAATATATGAAAAGATAAATATCAAATGAGTTTTTTCCATAGGAATTAACTAAAAATGGTTTAAGCCATTTCCAGCCTAAAATGTGTCTATCTATTCTTTAACTATAACAAAATGACATTGATCTCGGAAATCGTTGTAAATTGTATATTGACAACTTTAATTATTATTGCTTTATGATTGTGACAGAGATTTACTTATGCTGATGTAAATATACGTTGTCTTCTTATCCAGCCTTTCTAACACCCAATGGCACTTAGGGCCCTCAACTGACTCACACCAAGACATTCTAGCCTTTTTTTATCACATGCAGCTCTCCCCATGTCCTCCCTATCTTTTTTAACTTCACTCTCTAGCTCTCTTCTCCATGTATTTTTGTGTCTTGCTTTATTTCTATGCCCCTGTGGGTTCTAGTTCAAAGACATTCTAGATATATTGTTCTCAGGTTTTCTCAGTGTGTGTCCTATTCAATGCCAGCGTCTTTTCTTCACCTCGTGGTCCACTGGAACCTGTTTAGTTCTCTCCCAAAGCTCCACATTAGTGATTCTATCATACTATTTAATTCCCTATATTCTGCGCAGGCACCAGTTATTGAATGTTTGTAATTTATTAGTAATTGCCTTTGTTGTTTTTTCTCCATGTTTCCGTTCCATACAAAAGTACTGATTGGACATTCATTCATTCATTCAGTAGCATGTCCCTCGCGGAACTTCGCTGCCATAACAACCCTCCGGAAAACCTTCCTATCATGAGCAAGATGTCCTGCGTCTGATACACCCATCTGGAGATCATCTGCCACATCCTGCACCCATCTTCTCCTTGGCCTTCCTCTTCCTCTCTTCCCAGGCATATACCCCTCCATTATTGTTCTCTCTAGACCTCCATGACGTTTCAAGTGACCAAAATATTTCAATTTTCTTTGTTTTATTGTCTTTACTAGCCAACCATCTTCAATATTCAGCTCTTGAAGTATGGATGCATTTGTTCTTTTCTTTACCCAAGATATTCTTAGAACCTGTCTGTTTTATATTCAAATGCATTTATGCGCTGTTCCGCTTGTTTAGTAAGTGTCCAGGTCTCACAGGCGTATGTTGCAATGGGAAAGATGCATGCTCTTAAAAATCTGACCTTTGTAATTCTATCTGTACAATTCCATAATTTATTCAGTTGTTTTAGTCTTTGAAGAGCAATTGATAGTCGCCGTTTAATTTCTTTCATTGTGTCACCATTGTTGGTAACCAGTGACCCAAGATATTCGAAATTTTCCACCACTTCCAATCTTTCCTCATTAACATATATTTCCTTCTCCATGGCAGTTTTGTTTGTATGCATTATCTTTGTTTTGCTATGTTAAGAAATAAGTTATGATTTTCACTATTTCTTTGGAGTGAGGTTAATAAGTTTTCTAAACCATTTTGTGATGTTGATAGTAATACTGTATCATCAGCATAACGAATTTCTGGTATTTCATGACCACCGATGTTTAGGGCATCATATTGTTCCTTGTTTATATCATCTCTTACATTTCTCATTATATTTTCGGCGTACAGGTTGAACAAATACGGTGACAGCACACATCCCTGACGGACTCCTTGCTTGATGCCAAACCAGTCTGATGTCTCTCCATCTATTCTGACTGCTGCTTTTTGGTCTTGATAGAGCATTTTAATGAGCTGCACTATATGTGATGGAAAGCCCATATTCCTCATGATTTCCCAAAGCTTCTGATGTTGTACACAGTCAAATGCTTTTGAATAATCCACAAAACATAAGAACAGATTTACATTAAATTCTCTACACTTCTCTATTATTAAACGCATGTTGAATATATGATCTCTTGTTCCTCTTCCCTGTCTAAATCCAGCCTGAGCTACATTAATCTCTTCTTCCATTTTCTTTTGCAGTCTTCTCATTATAATTTTTAGTAGAATTTTACTTGCATGACTGATCAGGGCAATAGTTCGATAGTTTGTACATAATTTCAGGTCACCCTTTTTTGGAATTGGAATGAAGATAGTTCTCTTCCAGTCTTTTGGCCAAATACCATATTTCCATATCTTTTCACATAATGCATGATAGATTTTTATGCTTTCTTCTCCTCCCGCTTTAATCAATTCAGATGGTATCTCATCACATCCAGGTGATTTACCATTTTTCAGGCTCCTTATTGCCCATGAAATTTCATCTAATGAAGGTTCAGGTTCTGCCTCTACTGTTACTGGTTCATGTATATCATTCATATCCTCACTGTCATTCATATCATACATTCCGCTGCAGTATTCCTGCCATCTTCCTAGAATTTGTCTAGATTCTGTTAAAGTATTTCCCAACTTGTCACAAATAACATTTAACTGAGGTTGAAAATTTCTTGTCAATAACTTCATTTCCTTGAACATTTCGTAATCTCTTCCATTTTTGTGATGCTGCTCTATTTTAATACAGCAATCTTGTAAATACTGATTTTTATCCTTTCTTGTGTACTTTCTTTTTTCTCGTGTTAAAAATTTATACTTCATCCTACTGTCATTGGTTTCTCCTTTCTTTTTCAGTTCCCTTCGTTGTTTTATTAGATTGGACATTAGAATTTAAAATTTAAGTTTAGGATTAGTTTTAATTTCTGTTGACCTCTACAGATTCCCTCGTGCTATGAAAGCTCTGCCCTAGCCTTTTGTATTCATATTTTAATATCTCTATCAGTTCCCCCATCTTTATCTATTTTACTGCCCAAATAGGTGTACGACTCCATGTCTTGGAGTGAGGTACCATTTAGAAAAACTACATTACTATTTGCCTGATTTATTTTCATTATCTTGTCTTTCCCTTATTGATTTTAAGTCCTAGCTGTTGTGATCTCGCATCAAGTATATTTAATTTATCTTGCATCTGACTACGTGAGTGGGATGGAAGAGAAATATCACTGGTGAAGTCCATATTATCAAGCTGTTTTGTAGGGGTCCATTGAATTCCATTCCTGGTGTTAGCAATTGCTGTCTTCATAATCCAATCTACTGCCAGTAAAAATAGTATAGATTCCCTATCAACGCTGTCAAAAGTTTTTCATAGTCTATGAATCCAACGTAAAGTGGAGAATTCAATTCAATTCTCTGCTTCTTTAGATAGCATTAGAGGGCAGAATTTTCCTCTGTATATCTAGATCTAGATAGCATTTACTCTGGGATATTCAGAGACAGTATCTACCCAAAGGTAGTCACAGACGGAAGGTCTTGGAGAAGATAGTTGCTGTAAAGTTACAAGAATTTTTGGAAAGGGGGAAGCTTCTCCCAAGAGGTCTGGGAAGTTACAGGCCTGGAAAGGACACTTGGGCAAATGCGGCCACTTTTGCTTTTGACGTCTATGAAGGGTTTCAGAACAGACAGGAAACTATGGCGGTTAGACTGGATCTCGAGGATGCTTATAACAGAGTGAGATACAACATCCTTATGACTGCACTGAGAGAGAAGGAGGTCAGTCCATGGCTGATGAACTAGGTTGCAGCTGTCCTGTATTCACGTCGGGTTGCTCTCCGACTGGGCTCATGGACCTCTGAACCATGCACTTTGGCCCCAGGACTGCCACAGGGATCCGCCATCTCGCCTGTGCTCTTCAACGTGTATACGAGCAAGATTGCAAGCCTAGAGGCACCAGGAGTTGGAAGGATACTGACTTTTGCGGATGATATACTTGCATATAGGCAGGGGGAAGAAAGGGAACAAACAGCTCGGGAGCTACAAGCGACAATAGACAAACTAAGTGGTGTACAGAAATGAGGGCTGTCGTCCACCCCGAAAAGGTGTCTGTTTTGTGGTGTTCTCTGGACAACAGAATCGTTAAAACTGATGTCCCGAGTCTCACGATAGATGGTAGAGATGTATCTAGGAATTACATTTGACAGGAGTCTGTCATTTAAGGACCATGTGGAGAGTGTTGTGACGAGATGCCAAAAAGGACTTAGTGCACTTAAGACTATGGCTGCAATTGACATAGAGCAGAGAATGCTTTTCACACTATATCAGCACCTGATCGTGTCAGTGGTGGATTATGGCCTGGGACTGCTTATCGTCTCAAAAAGTCAGATGGACAAACTAGAGCGCATACAGAATGCGGTTATGCGGGTCATTCTGGGTTGTACCAGAGACACCCCAGTGGTGTGTATGCAATACATCCTTGGTTTGCCGACGGTTGCAGGTAGGCACAAGGTGCTGCAGGCGAAGTCATATCTCAGGGTAGCTGCAGACACAGACCACCCTCTGCATGAAGCTCTGGGTGCAGTTAAGGGTCAGCGGCTGATAAGAGGGAGGTCATGGATGGCTCAGGCAGAAGACACAATCAAACAGGTTTGCATCCTTGAGGACATTAGGCGAGGAGAAGAGTGGGTCAAAGTGCCACCTGAGCAGTCAGACCTGTATAGAGTTATAATCACGCTGAGCCGGGAATGCAGAGACTGGTCAGCAGGTGCCACAGAGGTGGAAATTCAGCAATTAATTCAAGATAATGCTCGCTCAGAGGATTTGATCATTTACACAGACGGTTCAGTGTCAAGAGGCAAAAGAAGTGCTTGGGGCTTCTTGGCAAAAGTTAATGGTCGACATTTGGTGCAGGAGAGCCTGGCATATGATACTACAACATCCAGCTTAAGAATGGAGGTGGAGGCGGTCACTGTAGCTTTCCGCTGGCTAGAGAACACGACACACACAAACATCGTGATTGTAACTGATTCAGAAAGCATGCTAGGAAAATCAGAACAGGTATGCTTCGTGCAGAGTGGCATGCTTCGCTGCAGAGGACACGAGTGAGGAGTATTGTCTAGATTTTTTCACCGGGTCATGCCGGTGTGTTGGGAAATGAACAGGCGGACAGACTGGCTGGCTCTGCACAACTTGGTGGAATACTGATACATGATAGGGCAGATGTGGTTAATGCCTTGTGGGAAAGCCTGTACAATTTGGAGGAGCAGATGGATCACCATAGACTGGTGAGATTGATGCAGTTGGGGGTGACGAGAGGTTCTGGCAGAAGCTCGAGGCTCAGAGGAAAGGCAAGACGGACGTTTAATCAGAAAGCTACTGGCACCATTAGTATCGGAACTCTTCGCTGGCTGCTGAAGATGGGGATGGAGCGCTTATGGAAATGCCCTGAGTGCTGTGATGTCGGTTCTTGAATCAAATCAAATCAAATCAAATCAGTCACAGACATGAAAAGATCCAATTAGAAATTAACAAACTAGCGAAAGACTTGTAGTTAAACAAGTCACAGAATAAAATAAAAAAAGACAACAGATGAGATAGTCTGGTCATTTGACAAGAATGCCCTATTACCAAGTTCCGCAGACAGCCACAGTGACGAAATATAATAAACACAGAGCAATGAGAAAGCTACGAAAACAATGAAACAACAGCTCTGAGATCGGCCACAAAGAAATGAAGACCAGTTTATACAATGTATTAGAAAGAGCACACAGAAAATTGTTACTTCTGTCTCCAATACTTTAATGAGGTAATTGGAGAAACAGAAAAAGAAGCAGAAGATTCACTTTCTCAGTACACAAATGTCCCAACCATTCCTACCTGCTTTATTTGGATGCTGTGCTTGAGTTCAGCTTCAGCGCTGTCATTATACAGATTAAGCTCCTCGGTTTTAGAAAGCATGTCTTTATTGTCTGCCTGGATTGCCAATGTTTCTTGCTTGATCCGGCGGCTGTCATCCTAAAAAGAGCATAGAGAAATCATTTTAAAACAGTGCCAACTAATTATGTTTAACAAATTATACTGTCAATACTCATATACTGTTAATTTTTATATACTTTTAATAGTTTTTATATAGATGTTCATCCACAACGTCAATCTTACATCTCTCTTGGTCTCCTTCTGCCTCCCTTTTCCTTCAGCTTTCCCATTATCATGATGTCTTCCACTTTTTTGTATTTCATGACATGCTCAAAAATGCAAATTTCCTTGTCACTGGTAATCAGTTATTTTAGTGAGTTAATTATCTTCAAAAAAATATTTTCATTACACTTTGTTTCTGTCCATGATATCCTCACTGATTTTATAAAGACCAAAACTATAGGTTCCACAATATTTGTCACTACTCAAATGACTTGCCAAGATTCACTGCTGTACATTACGACTGACATTATATAAGTAAGTTAAGTCAGTAGATGACCCTTTGTACGCCTGTGGTGCGGCAGGCATATGATGTTAGACTCATATTTTGATTGACTAATGGCTGATGTGGTCAACATCATGCCAGCTGCCTTTACTTCCCAGAACTTAATCCGTGAACCATTTTAGGACTGGTCGACCTAGGAAACAAATTCTTTTTTTTTAAACAGACTTCATGTGGATTCAAGCCCAAAACTTATGGGTCAGCAGGTGAGCACTGACACTATATAGCTCTTTCTCACCTCAGCTGACAATGACAGACTAACACAATTGAAAAAAAAAAAAAAAAAGATGAAAACTGTTTTGTGCCAAATAATACACCATGCAGCTACTCTTAATGTCAAATTCTTCCCACCATACCACCCCTGCCCCACCCCAACACAAACACACACTTTTTCCCCCTATGAATCAGTGGAAAAACTTTATCGTTCTCAAAGAGATAAGCAATGTTTGTTAGAAAACAACAATAATCTCTTTAAAATTTGAATGTGTGTCATACAATAGACACCATAATACAACTAAGTCATAGTTGTAAGGGAGGCAATACCACAAATAATTATTATGATAACTATCTAAAGCCCATATACGCAAAATCACCACCTGCAAGATGAGGTGCCTGAAAAAAAGCAGCCAACCAAACCATACAAGATCGAGTAAATAATGAAACTATCAGGCAAATTGTAGGAACGACACCTTGTACATTGAGAAACAGTAGATCAAGTGGTTTGGCCATCTGGTTAGAATGCAGCAAGATCAAATACCATCACAAGCACTACATCTCAGAAGATCAGCTACAAGAGCAAGAGGACGGCCGCGTAAATAATGGATCAACAACATTAAAGACACTCTACGCCTTCACGGCATGACAATAGCCAGTGGCAGCCAACTTGCACTGGATCGCAAATTATTTCTAACCACGTGGCTTAACGGCAGAAGTGGTTTATGATGATGATGATGATGATGATTATCATTATCATAAAGTTGGTCACTTGCAGAAACCTGCTCTCCTTACAGCCTGACAGAACAATCTTAATCCTATCTCATGTATCATCATTTCCAGGGTGTTCTTAATATCATTTTTTCCACCAGGGTGTCAGTCTGTCCCTGCTTCATCTTTCAGCAACCATGTTTTCTATCACTGTCCTTTCCAAACCACTTAGAAGTTCCATGTGACAAAATATTTAGTTTATTATGCATGATAATATTTATAAGCAAGTTTTTGTCATAGTCAAATCTTGTAGAATGTCAGTATATTTATTTCTTCTTGACCCATCAATAAAATTCAAGCACTCTGTTCACGTCATTAGTGCACCGGTATAGGGTCTTTTACCCCTTATTTTTTTTTTTACCAATCGACATTCAGTGGGTCCTACAGTCAACAATGTGCCAGCCACTTTTACTTCCTAGGAAATTTCCTAGTACCTATTTTAGGCTAGGTTGACCTATAAGCCCAAATATGCAAATCTACCTCAATTTAGAACCAAATGAAAAACTTGTGGGCTCGCATTCAAGCATTTAGTGTTAAAACATGTTCAATAATGAGATGATAAATGAGATGCACCTGTACTCTCTTTAGTTGCGCTGTTAGAAGTGTGTATGTGTGCGTTTTATTGTCAAGGTTCTTCTGAAGCTCAGCTATAGTGCTCTCTAAATCTGTCTTTTCCTCTGAGTTTTGCTCTCCCTGCATGCGCATACAACGTCGCTCCAGTTGTTGAAGTGTAAAATCCTGACAACAGAGTATACAACAGTCATTGATAGCTTGAAAGTTATAACATGGATTTGTTAACCATTTAACAATTGTTGCTTAGCAAAAATATTTTATTATTATCTTTCAGTTATACCTAAAATTATAACTATACAACGTAACTATAACCTATAGAACTATGCAGAAGTTGTACATGTTAATAACTTTATACATGTCTTGACTGAATAATTAAAAATTATTACACCACTGTTAATCAATGTATAAAATTATATTATCAATCTGGTCATGCCAGACAATAGTGTTATACTGTACCACAGGAAAGTATGAGAATCACATCCCATGATCACAGCCAGTGTGACTAGTAAGACCAGCTCATGTCTAGAAAAATAGGATTTCAGGTACATTGTTGTTATCATTTGCATTTGACTGTTTCTTCTCAAACACTCCACTCTTAACCTGTCTACAATCCTTTCTCCTTTGTCACCATTCCCTTTCTACTTGTCCCCTTCAATGCAACATAATTCATTGCATCCTAAAAACTGTTGTGATACCTGCTCCTCCTTACAACTCAGCAATTGTTTACTCTTATAGGCACTGCATCTAGAATATCTTTATTATCTACAAGCTACAAGATACTATCAACGGTACTGTTAAACAGGCTAAAACCATTGGTCGAAGACATACTTGGAGATTACCAAGAGGGTTTCCAACAGAACAGATCAACAATAGATCAGATATCTTTTTTACGGCAAATAGCAGAGCAAAACTGGGAATACAGAATAGATGTACATAATGTTTTTTGTGGATTTTAAAATGGCGAATTATAGTGTACATAGAAACAGTTAATGGGATGCTATGAAGGGCTTTAAATACAAAAGAAGTTAATTAGCATGACTCAAACTATGTATGGAAGACACTTATAATGTAGTAATATATGAAGGCAAAAAGTCAGACCCCTTTCAAATAACATCTAGTTTATCAGCAATTCTATTTCCGGAAACTCCACAGTGGGATGGTATCCATTGCATAGTTACTTTACACCAACTGCCTAGTTTGGACATTAGTGTTCGTATACCAGGTAGTTTTCCAGATTGGAGTGCCTGAAATATGACATATATTTAACAGTTTTTCTGCTGCTATTTTGATGCCTTGAACTTCTGCATCATAGTTGTGGCAGTACTTTCCTGTAGATATTTTAGCTGTGTATCTGGTATTATATGGATGCTCGATATACACTCTTGCTCCTCCATTTCTGCGTGTGTTTTGTGCTGATCCATCCATATAGACACAAAACCAAAAGGTTATGTGGGTATTCGTCATCAAGTAGAGCGAAGCTGGCTGTTTTATGTTGCATACTGTGTTGTTCTTCCTTGTTGAATACTTCTTTTACTTCTCTCTGGATGTGTAATGGCAACTTATAATCCTCTGTCCAAGGGGTCTGATCTGGAATAGCATTTAAGGGGCTATCAGTTGCAGGCAGGTCATTGGTTTGCCTGCAGAATCGTTGGGTCTTGTGAATGAAACTGCTTCTTTTAGTCACCCTATTGCAAGATTTTGGAATCTTTCTTTCATAGGGTGTTCAGGCATGCTAAGAAACTTTTCTGCTTGTATTAGTTTCAAAGTGTCTCTTTGTTCTGTCAGTGTTTAAGTCATCGCCATCTTTTCCATCACAGCTATAGGTGTTGATTTCATCCTGTCCCGTTATGATTTTGCACCTTGTCTAACTTTTGTTGTGTGGTTTGTTTTTTAATTCTGAACTCCATGCAGTAGACCCGTGTTCAAGTATTTTCCCATTTGCGCCCTATGTTGTTCCTCTTAGTTTTCTTAGGATAGCTATCTTCCTTCTGGCTTTGGTTGCTGCCTTGTTGATGTGTTTTCTCCATGTTAACCAAATGGGACTCTGAGGTATGTGGGCTCCTTATCCTCTCTTAGTGGAGTTCTATTTATCTGAATAACGCCTGATTTTTGTTTTGGGGAGAGGGTGATGAGAGTGGTGCTACACTTTTCTATGTTGATGCTGACACACTATTTATCAGCCCATGTAGCCATTGCATCTATGCAACTTTGTACCAGTCAAGTGGCCTCCGCTGCATATTTATTTGTGCACCACAGTACCAAGTTGTCAGCATACATTGCAACTTTAATACAATAGGGGTACTTTAGCAATTAGGTCGCTAATATAGACCAGAAACAGTGTTGGGGACAGGACACCACCCTGGGGAACACCAAAGAATTTCTTGCTCTTGAGTCCATCTATCTGTCCTCGGGCTCTTCTGTTAAACAAGTATGATTTCACCCATCTGTACATATTTCCATTAACTTTGTAGTTTCTCAGTTTCTTCAGTTGTTTCAGTGATACAGATCTCCTTTATTCATTTGCATAGTAAAATGATACTCAAATCTCTGTAGCCTTGAGATTAGCATTAAGAAACTTCACACTTGTCTACATACTGATATGACCAAGTGATTAGGCCATTTGCCTCATCTCTGAAGTTTATGAGCTGCGTTTCAGACTGTACTTTAGTTCAGAGATTAGGAGTTATCGCTGCAGCAGATCTTGGATGTTCCCATATCTTATGATGGTCTTCAGTTTTGATGAAGTCTGTGATGTACAGGTCATTTTTAGTGCAAAATTACAACAGCCTTTGCCTGTTTTCATTCATGGACTGTCTTTGGGGTGGCCTGTCTCTTGTAGACATTGTGGTGTTAGAAAGTGGACGAATGGGCCTCAGTTTGAATAATGGGAAGACAGAAGTAATGGTGGTATCAAAGAAACGAATTATTCCTAAGTGTGTAATAAAAGTTGATGGTGTTATTTTAGGACAAGTACAGAAATTTAAGTATCTGGGCACATGGATAACATCAGATGGAAAATGCATAACTGAGATAAGAAACAGAATAGGACAGGCAAAAACTGCATTTTATAAAATGAAAAACATCTTGTGCAATATATCCTTGTCATTGAGAGTTAGAAAAAGAATTCTTGCTTGCTACATACATCCAGTTTTAACATATGGCTGTGAGTCCTGGACAATCGGTTGGCAGGCTAAACAGTTTCTTGAGGCCTTAGAGATGTGGTTTTACAGAAGAATGCTTAGAATACCTTGGACAGCCAAAAAGAGCAACCAATAGGTTTTGAAAGAGGCGGGAGCCCAAAGACAACTTATCACAGACATCGGAAGGAGACAGTCATCATTTTTCGGCCATGTTATGAGAAGAGGGAAAATAGAACATGTTGTGACCACTGGAAAGATATGTGGAAGGAGAGATAGAGATAGACAACGAGAGAAGATGCTTGACAGTCTTGTTGCATGGCATGGAGGTGTGTCGGCACACGAACTGATACATGCTGCAGGAGATTGCAGATTATGGAGAGACATGATCGCCCACACCAGTCGGCAAGACACCTGATGATGATGATGATGATGTCTCTTGTAGGCCAGCAATATCTATGACAAACATATAGCATAGGTTTCTCACATCCCAAAATGTAATGGCAAGTGTGGACTAAAAAGAGACCTCATCCATCTGAGACTTGACAAAAGAAACTATTTTCATCACAGTTTTTTAAAATGACACTTTGAACTAGGTATCCATTGTCATAGGTTTATGCTGTCTGCATCAGTTTATATTCCATGCCATCAAAAGAATTAATTGAAAGAACTTGATCACATAACCAATCACATGGTGACTGACTTCATAAGATATGAATAACTATTTCAGTCCTGAGGGTTGTGCATCAGAGGCCCAAGGGGTAGTAAAGAGAGGTGTAAAATCGGCGCATCTTGTGTTTATCTGGCTTCTAGGTGGTGACCTAGAAACATAGGATGTGATTTTTGAGACTAAAAGAATTAATATCCTGTTTGCAACATACAGCATGCACATGGCAAAATCAAATGGTTTGGTCTTTGACAAGGATGCATATGGTATGCACCAGCTACATAAACAGACATAAACTACTTCAATTATAATGGTTTGGAAAATGAAAAAATAACAAATGAACTACAGGTAATAAAGAGCTGCTGAAGAAACTCAAAAGTCATACAAATGGCTTGAAGTAACAACTTCTCTTTCATAACAATGACAAATGAAACAGAAAACATAAAGCTTCACTGAATCATGCTTTACCTGTCCATAGAGAATCTCCTGCTGTTTCAGAGCATCTGCATCTAGTCGGTTTAGTTTACTGGCCAGGTTCTTAACAGCATTTTGGGCTGCCTAGAACAAAATTGTATGTTATTTAACTAAGCATATTTCCTACATTTTACACAACAAAAGACTGTTGAATGTTTAATCAAGAATCGACATCATAGAACTCGGGACACTCACATAAGTGCTCCGTTCCCGTCTTCAGCAGTAAATAAAGAGTTTCCAATTCTGATGGCACCATTAACTGTTGGATTTTATATCGACTTTCATTTGAGTTTTGAGCATCCACCAGATCCCCTGGCAACTCCTTGCAGCGCCATTCTCCTCAGACCATAATGACCTATTTGTGCTTCCATACTGTTCACTCGCTCCAAGAGAGCCCTCACAACACTACCAAATGGTGCAGAACCGGCCAGTCTATCTGCCTGCTCATTTCCCAACACACCGGAACAATTAAATATCTTGTGCAATAAATCGATATCAATGGAGGTTAGAAAAAAAAATTGCTCCATACTAGATAGAACCAGTGTTTATGTATGGTTGTGAATACTGGACAATTATTAGACAAGTCAAAAAAAATTCCTTGAGGTCTTAGAAATGTGGTTTTACAGAAGAATTCTTAAACTTTCTTTAACAATTAAAATGTGTAGACACTTTTAAACAGGCAATGACCTAAAGACAGCTTATCACACACATCAGAATTGGGCAGTCATAACCTTTTTAGCCACATTTTAACACTTTTGCCTGCAAAGTCACAAACCTGAAACCCTTGAAACCCTATAAATGTCCCTTCAATGACACTGCTAAAGTGGCTTGTTCATGAGGAATGTAGCTTACAGCAATACTTCTGTTTGCACCTGCACAAACATTTAGGATGACCAGGCATGATTACATTTGCTAAATATAGCCTTTAAGTAAAGTTTTCTTATTTGAAAAAAAAAAAAACAGAAGACTTTTTTAATAGAAATTCTGACATTGTATTTTCCTATTGGTGGTATTGGTAACCCGTTAACTGGGTCCAGAAATGTGTCCAGAAAGGTTCTAAATGGGTGCAGAGATACAACCTGTTTAATTTCTGCTGCAGTCATCCCTGTAGGAAATTCAATATTTTTGTTTGTGTACCCATAAATGGAATTTATGACATGTGTAAAAAAATTTTTTTTAAGGATATATATATATATATATATATATATGTGTGTGTGTGTGTGTGTGTGTGTGTGTGTGTGTGTGTGTGCACATGCGTGCGTGCATGCGTGTGTGTGTCATGTCTGTGTGTGTGTGTCATGTCGTGTCTGTGTGTGTCGTGTCATGTCATATGTGTGTGTGTGTGTACGTGCATGTGTGTGTGTGTGTGTGTGTGTAATGAAATGAAACCCTTCTCAAATATATGAAAGGTAAATCATTAGTTAGGGACTTTTGAGCTGAAATGCTAAAGAAAGATTCTCAGAATATCATGGACAAGGAAGAAAAGAAATACTGACATTCTAAAAGATCTGAACATCAAGGAAATTTGCTAAATGATTGTATTATTATTAAAGTTGCAAAATTTAAAAAGCTGCTGTTACTAAGTATACACATATACACACACATTCATGAACATACAGACAGACAAGAACAATAGTAAATGTATGTATGTAGGTGTTTGTATAAAATGAGAGGGGAGAGAGAGAGAGAGAAATAGCAGACCAGGGAGAGAATACATACAAGTATCCTGTATACAGAGATGATGAATACTCCTTAAATATCTGTAAGTCATATATGACATATGAATGGTACAAAAAGGTGATGATGAAGGAAGGTTATAATTAAAGAAACTGAAAGCACTGTGGGAGCATTGCAGTATGAGGATTACACAGGATAAGGGTAACAGAGAATACTTATCACTAAAACTGAGGATGACTTATACGTGCGTGTCAAACAAGTAGTTTTGATGAACATAATCTTACATTAATGGCTGCTTCTGTCATTTTTTCTGTGGTTTTGGCGTCCGTTAACTCCTTGCTCTTCTTATACAATGCATCTCCAATTCGTTTCATTTGCATATTCAAGCCCTCCTGCTTTTTTTCCTCAGCTTGCAGTAAATCTTCCATCTGTGTGGCCTTTTCCCCAGCAGTGAGTGTAGCATTGACCGCTGTTTTTAGTTTCTCCACAAGCACTTCTCTGAGGTTTGTGACTTGCTGCAATCTGTAGAGGTGAGAGTTCAAAAAGAGTGATTACGCCATTCGCATCATCTCTGAAGTTTATGAGCTGGGTTTCAGACTGTTGGTTCAGAGATTAGAAGTTATCGCTGCTGCTACAGTGTTGTGTTCTGTGTGCAGTGTTCTTTAGCTTGTAATGAGTCATTCTGCAGAGAAAGACTGAGCTAAAATCCAGTGCCATAAATCAATCCTCTTGCCTTTAAATACTCTTTTTTTTTTTAATGATGTGACATAAATATGACTCAACATTTAGGTGTAGAGACACTCTTAGTTGTAACTGTTACAAAAATCTACATTTTTTAAGATGGTTTGGCCATTTTGAAAAAATAACTGTAACGGTTGTATATTTTTTGTTTCACTGTTCTTTGAACTTTCTGCAACGGATGGTCCAAGTATTGAAATATATCAGAAACAACAGGATGACTACAATTAATTATTATTAGTAAAGTAGGAGCCATGATTGCTTTTTAGTTAGACCAGTGTTTCCCATTGAAGGTTGTAGGGCAACAGCTTTGTTTGTAAATTTAAGGGGGGGGGGGGGGGGAGGGGATAGAGTTTACCAACATTTTGACTGTAACACTGAGTCAAGGCGTGGGATGGGATGGTAGGAGCCTCTAGAAAAGTTCTTTCCATAGTGGGCACAACCGCCCCCTTGGTGGTGCTGGAGCAGTTGTGGATGCAGAAGCTTTATCTGTCAGGACAGTGTGGGACTGTGGAACACGCCAGGAGGCGGTAACAGCCTCAGGTGCACTTAGGGGCAATAATTAAACTTACACCACAAGTGAAGACAAAAGATGAAGTAGAAAATGGGAGAAAAAGGAAGGTAAAAGGGCTGAAACATTCAAAGACAGAGGACAGCTTCTGACAATTGGAAGTTCCTGTTGTGCACGCTACTTTATAGAGTTTCTACTACACATGTGGCAGCAGTGGAGACAAAGATAAAGTAGGGGATGGGAGAACACAATTTTCTTTCACTATCCTGAGATCCTGGGCAAAGCTGGGTGATAAAATCTAGTTGATCCATAAATGTAGACCTAGCATCATATATCTGATGCACCTTATGGTGTGAAAAGGATCCTATAATGAATCAGAAGAAAATAATAATACTACAGCAGTCATTCTGTTTTTGTTGTCTTGAGCATGACTGTAATCTTTGTAAAAAAAAAAAAAACTTCCTAATATTTACTGAGATTTGTAAGTATTTTAATTCTTTATAACTGTAGAGTATGTAAACACTATTACAGAATATCAGCTTTGGGATACAATGTGTTAACAAAAAGTTTAGATAAACTGTTATAAAAAACTGATAACCTCTTAATGGAGACTGGGAGCCTACGTTGGAGCGAAATAAATGTATATGCTGCCGTGGGCTCTTTGGTTACAAAGCAACAGTGGGACTGGCTGAAAGACCTGGAGTGGATCCCTGACAACAGGCTCCTCATTTGTGGGGATTTCAATACACTGACAGTACTGGAGAAAACTGACAGGGAGTTGCCCTTACTAAAGCCATGGTCGATTCAGACCTTGTCTGTTTAAATGAATGGAGGCCAGCTAGAATGGCAATGAGACCCGGCGATGCAGACACGGCTACTGATCTAGCTTTTGTGACACAGTCAGCAGTACTGATTATGGAAGTGACCATCTGCCATGTTCAGTATAGATCTGCAGATCCAGGAAAGTCAAGGCTTCAAGAGCTCATAGGCCTTTCAAGTATCAACAAACTAACATTTTTCTTGGACCTCCAACAGAGGGCATGTAAGAGGACCGGTAGATTTACTTTTGTGCAAGCTCATTGGTGGACATCAGAGGTTGAACAGGCATGGACTTTGACAAAGAAGAACATTAAGATGTGGCAAGGGTACATCCAGGGCACTCAAAAACAAACAGAATGGCAGTGGATGATCACTGTCATAATCATGTTGATTTTAGCCTATTTAGTAATGTTTTGATGTGCCATCTGGTCCATGTGTTGAAAAAAAAGAAAAAGTGTGGACTAGATTGTTTTTACTAATATATAACAGGTAATAAACAGAAAATGACGTTCACATATTTACTTTGCACTTTTATCCACAATGTCTTTCTTTAAATGATTGACTGCTACTCGTGTCAACTCCAGATCTAGTGCTGTTCTGTCCACTGTACGCTTCAGGGTGTTAGCCTATTATAGGAAATTGAGAAAACGAAGACAACAATTATTCTGTTTTTTAAATTATGTCAACATGCCAAGAGCATTTTCTGCTCTCTGCAACAAAATAATAACAATTATCAGCTTCATCTATTTTTCTGACACATGCATACAATATCATCAACTAAAACTTTATTGCCAAGGAGTCACAATACACACTTTTTTAAAATTCAATGTTAGACTAATCATTTTGTTATAGTTGTTTTTAGTAATTTATTTTGATACCTTTTTACACTTTAGGTTGTACAATCAATTATAGCTGCTGTGACAATAGCCTCCATCTTTTAAGAAATCCTAAAATTACAAAAACAAACACAGACATAGAGTACGAAATAAGTGATTCATAAATGTGACATATTATGAGGTAATCTACTAGTTATTTCTTTAAAAATGTGTGTGTTGCATGCTGATTTGTGACAGTTGATTTTATTTGATTTGAATTAAGAACCGACATCACAGGACTCAGGGCATTCCCATAAGCACTCCATCCCCATCTTCAGCAGCTAGCAAAGAGTTCTGATACTAATGGTGCCAGTAGCATTCTGATTAAACGTCCGTCTTGCCTTTCCTCTGAGCCTCGAGCATCTGCCAAACCTTCTTGTCACTCCAACCTGCTTCAATCTCACCAGAATGTGGTGATCCATCTGCTCCTCCAAACTTTACACGCTCTCCCACAAGGCACTAACCATATCTGCCTTATCATGTATCAGTATTCCACCAAGTTGTGCAGAGCCAGCCAGTCTTTCCACCTGTTCATTTTCCAACACACCTGCATGACCCGGTACAAAAATCCAGACAATACTCCTCACCTGTGTCCTCCGCAGCGAAGCATACCACTCTGCATGAAGCATGCCTGTCCTGATCTTCCTCAGCATGCTTTCTGAGTCAGTTACAATCACGATGTGTGTGTGTCGTATTCTCTAACCAGCGGAAAGCTGCAGTGACCACCTCTACCTCCATCCTCACCAAACGTCAACCATTAACTTTTGCTAAGAAGCCCCAAGCACTTCTTTTGCCTCTTGACACTGAACCATCTGTGTAAATGATCAAAACCTCTGAGTAAGCATTATCTTGAAATAATTGCTGAATTTTTATCTCCGTGGCATCTGCTGGCCAGTCTCTGCATTTCCGGCTCAGTGTGATTATGACCCTACACAAGTCTGACTGTTCAGGTGTGAGTTGTAACATGGTAGGGGGACAATGTGGTATGAATGGTGTTTTCAGGAGTCAATGGGAATGTCTGGTGACCTGAGGCAATATTCGGCACAGTGTTGACTTAAGCCAGGAGATATCTGATGGCTAAGTCAATATTTTGGCAAGTAGGAGTTGACTTTACCTGGGATGGACCAGTGGATTCATGAAGTATTAGCCAGTGTGAGGCATGCGGGATAGTATAGCTGTCACACAGAAGAAGCATTTGGTGCATGACAGCGTGCGTCTTGTGTGCACAAGCAGCTCACAAGGGGCAAGCAAGGGTATATACTGGAGTTGAGTGGACTGTTGAGCAGTGGACAGTTGAGAACCTGAACTGTTGTTGAGAACCTTTGAGGAGAAGTATTCATGAGACACTGGTCGAAAGTGCAGCAAAGGAAGAGAAGTCCAGTTGGTAAGTCGTGCCAAGAGAGCTGGACTACTCAAGAGACGCTGTTTTAGGTGATGACGCAAGCAAGCGGAAGGATCACTAGTGAAACAAGACAGCACAGATGCCAGCGATAGCTGCGTGCTGAAGGGACTGTGTGCCAGGAGTCCTGCCAGTCATCTGAGTTCCTTTGACGAGGCTGATATGCTGTGCGCACATGCTGGAAATCAAGTATTGTGGTGTTTTCTAGTCAGCCGATGTGTCTGCTCTGCATAGAGCAGCAGAGGTCCAGCTGATTAGGAGATATATCCTGTTTATTTGTACAGCAAGCCTGGACGTGCTGGACGCCGCTGTAGACCTAGAACTGTAGCAGTCAGCTCATGTGTAGTGGCAGCTAGTACAAGCTGTCAGGGAGAGCAGCGCTTTTTTTTTCTGTATAACTTTAGTTTAACTTTCTAACTTCAGGTTGTATTTAAAAAATGTGACTTGCATTATTAATCTACACGTCTTCTACATTTGATCCCGTGAGGTTCTTTGCTGAGGATATTGATCACCTCTAATAATCTCTCTGATTGCCTTTTCACTTTCCAATTGATGACTTTAAGAGTTTGCAGGACTGCCTGAATATTATCTTCAACCACCTTCTTCACCTGTCTCATGATCTACTCAAATTCAATTCCTTTGTGACCGCTATGTTTGTGTCTCCGACATTCTCCCTTGATACCCCAGCTATTGCAATCTATTAGACCAAATGTTGCCAGTATGAATTACTGATTTATAAATTATTCATTACACTAATTATAAATGCAGTCATAATTATTTATGTTTTTTTTTTTTTAAACAAATTCTATAAAAACATGGTCATAATAACTTCAGAACAGTTTTTGCAAAAACTGATGACATCAAGTAATGTGTACAATCATCATCATCATCAGGTGCCTTGCCAACTGGCGTAGGCAATCATGCCTCTCCACATTCTGCGATTTCCTGCAGCATGTATCAGTTAATGTACTGACACACCTCCATGCCATGCACACACACACAAAAAGACTGTCGAAAATCTTCTGTCATTGTCTTGCTCTATCCCTCCTTCCACAGATCTTTTCAGTGGTCACAATGCATTCCATTTTCCTTTATCTCATAACATGGCTGAAAAATGATGACTCTCTCCTTTTGATTTCTGTGATAAGTTGTCTTTGGTTGCCTCTTGGTTGCTCTTTTTGGCTATCCAAGGTATTTTAGGCATTCTTCTGTAAAACCACTCTGAGGCCTCAAAAAATTATTTGGCCTGCCTACCGATTGTCCAGGACTCACAGCCATATGTCAAAACTGGATGTATGTAGCAAGCAAGAATTCTTTTTCTAACCTTCAAAGACAGAGATATATTGCAAAAGATGTTCTTTATTTTATAAATTCAGTTTGTGCATGTTCTATTCTGCTTCTTATCTCAGTAATGCATCTACCATCTGATGTTATCCATGTGCCCAGATGCTTAAATTTCTGTAATTGTTTCAAAATAACACCACTGACTTTTATTACACATTTAGGAATAATTCGTTTCTTTGATACCACCATTACTTCTGTCTTCCCATTATTCAAACTGAGACCCTTCTTCTACTTTCTACCACCTCAACGTTTATTATTTCCTGTAGTTCTTACTGACTTGTTGCTATCTAGACTGTGTCATCAGCATAATGTAAATTGTTTATAGTATGCCCACTAACCATAATTCCAAACATATCAATTTAAGATCTTATTATATATTCACTGTATAGTGAAAATAAATCAGATGACAGTACACATCCTTGTTGTACGCCCCTCTTTATGCTTTGAAATGTACCTAAACAGTTTCATTATTCTTAAAGCTGCTGTTTGCTGCCAATGCCAATACATATTTTGTATTATTCGTAGATCTTTTCCATCAATGTTTAATTTTTCTAACATTTTGAATTAATGGAACAGTTAAAAAAAATAAACACAAATTGTGATAACAACATTGTTTCTTTATTTTTGTTAACATTTTTTTTTTAACATAGTTTTGAGTGTTACTTTTTATTCTGCTGCACAATTATCTGCCTATTTATGCTTTCTGAAATTGAATTCTTATTTAGCGGAGGGATAACATTGTGTTTTGGAGAAAATAATTAGCCGTTAATCACAGAATAATTACTTTCAATGGTGAAACAACAGGGGACTAAATTTTAAGCTGTTTAACTTTTGTTTGTGTTTGAACACCCACTAAAATCCACAACAATTTAATTAAGTTAATACAAAATCAAACTGTAGAAACACAGGCAGTATGCACAGAGATAAATGTCTCTAAGACAAAGAACACATTACTTAAAAATAGAGAGACTGGATTCAACAAGTTTTTTTTTTCATCTTCAGCATTCCGAGCCCTGAAGATATCGCCCATCTCCAATTATATATGTGACTGGCCTTCTCTTTCCAGCTGGTGACTCAAAATTTTTTTTAGTTCTGCCTGGATATTCTCTCTCCACTATCTGTTTGGTCTGCCTCATGGTCTATGGCTTTTCATCAACTCTCTTGTGTATGCAGTTTTTGCCTCTGTCCTCTGCCAATCTCTCTATATGCCCCTGCCCCTGCAGTTTATTAGTCTTTATGATGCCAGTCATCAGTGGTGTTTAAACAAACTACAGAGATTAGATGTCTTTGAAGAACCACTAGAGTAACAAGAAAAGATAAAATTTAAAATTAAGAAATCAGATGAAGACTAAAACAGAAACCAGTCATGCAGTTTACAAAAAGGCAACAAATACAACCGTTTGGATATCCGATGAGAACACCCTGATACTAATTGCCACAGGCAGCCATGTAGAATGGAAGTTGTGAGGATATATAGGCTCACATATCACCCGCAATGGTGTTGAACAAAATTGAAGCAAGCGCTACTTTGTACACTAAGTAATTTTCAGTATAAGACAATCTATCAACTGACCTCATTTTCAAATTGCAGTTTTTGCTGTTCAGCCTGTAACAGTTCCATCCTTGTTTGGGCACTCTGTCGTTCAGCTATGGTAATTTTCTTCTCACACTCTAAATTGTTTTCCTTTTCATGCTCAAGGAACAGTAATTTCTCCTGAATCGTGTGATTGTTTAGTCGCACTGTCTGCTTTGAAACAGCCAGCTTCTGCAAGTGAGATGCAAACATACATAGTATTACAAATCAAGAGTGGAACATGGAAAGAAAATAGAAAAGTGATAACTGATGTCTAAAATGTCATCACACCTAGCTGGAATAAAATATAGCATGTGACTGTAAATGTATTTCACAAATTTCATGTAAAAACTGTCAAAGCATTTTTGCTCTTGTGCAAACCCTGCCTGCAATATCTTCAGAGCAGCAACATATTTTAGATATTACAGAGGGAGATAACTCAGAGATCATATAACAATACAAAATGCTATTTTATAAATTAGATCAAGGTTATGAGGCATATCAGGTTTTTCATATCAAAAGCAACATGTACTGTTGCTCCGCTAAAAAACCATCAATCAAGTATTCTGAAATGTTATCATCATCAAATGCCTTGCTGACTGACATGGGTTTGATAATGTGCTTGGTGTGGTGTCCCAAGCTCGCAGCAAGTCGAGAGGGAAAGCAGTGCAAGAGGTGATGGCACGAGATATTCGAACCCGGAGACATGAACTAGGCAAAGCCCAAGGTTGGCTCGTGGTCAGTGGCATACCAGAGTTTGAAGGAGATGGTTGTAATACAGTTTGACTTAAATGTAATATACGCTTGGTGCATGAATATTGTAGAGTTTGTGGAAGGGAGCAGTGATGTTGACACTCAAATGTGGTTGAGAAATGTGAGGATTGGAAAGAATAAACTGGCAGAATTTGTATTCAGAAACTAAGCGAGAAACTAAGCGCTGTTCTGCATCATGAATAGCAGCGTCTAAAGCGCCCAGTCTCATATTCTCCTGTGTTGTGATGCTTGATAAGAGTTGTCGGAAGCAGAATGCCACTGCTGTCAACGCCAAGGAGGTATGAGGGCTTATCAGTGAAAAGTCTGATGAGACAGATGTATGTGCGGATCTTCACAGATGGGTCCATTAAACGAGGACATAAGAGTGCAAGTGCATTTACAGCTCACTACCAAGTCAGAACAGTTCAAGAAGCCACTATGCCTTCTCCATGCCTACTAGCAGCATGATGATGGAGGTGATGGCTGTGATAAAAGCTTTCATGTGGCTAAAATCACAGGACTATTCCAGCGCGTGTGTGCCAAGTGATTCTTTGAGCGTGATCTGGCGGGTTGAGGCAGGCTGTTACGCAGACAGCGGACTGAGTCATTGCAAAAATTGCCTGTGTGTGCAGTTACCTTCATATTTGTCCCTGGGCATGCTGGTGTTGCTGGTAATGAAAGAGCTGATAGATTGGCAGGTGCCGCATTAATTGAAGATGGCCGGCCCATGGGTCATGCAGACCTTGTCAGTGCCCTTAAAGAGATACATTCCAAAGATTTTGGAAGCAATGTTTCCACATCACTGCTAAGAAAAACGAGAATTGGGAGTAAAGATCGGCATGAGAAGCACACCGTACTCACATGACATCTTGTCAACCAGCATAGGACTGGCACTATTAACGATGCAACGCTGAGGAATATGTTGAGATGGGAATCTGAGCATCTATGGATGCGTCCAGAGTGCTTTGAAGATAATCCAACTCATTACTCATTGTAGAAAGCTGTATAGTCCCAAGCAAGCCAGCACTACTAAGAGTATAAATGAGCTTTGTTACAAGTGTGATGCTCTCCAAAGGAATTTGAACGATGTGGACATGTCATATTATACAAAAAACGGTCCACTGAAGATAAAGATTCATCCTAGTCCGAACCTCATAAATCCCAGTCAGCGCCTCATTGTGCACATAGCTCAAAAAACAATGTAAACATTCATGGCTGGCCAAGCCAAGTAACGAAAGATAAGTTCACTGATTGATATTGTTTCAATTCTTGTTACAACATTTTCTAGAAGCAATTCATTTATCATGATTGATTTTTAATTGTGTAATAGTTTAGTTTCCTATTGTATCCAGCTTCTAATTGTTGTAAATAAGACAGTCAGTCAGACTGGCCCACTATTCATTTAATTAAATAGCGATCAAAAGTTTAATCTTAAACAGCACGGTAACAACCAAAAAGAAAGACACAGCGACCAACCAAAAAAGTGGAGTTAACAGTCCTTATTTATATTGTCATAATAAACTGTGACGACATGCCTGGTAACTTCAGAACGTATCGTTCCTAACCTAACATTTTAATTTGTTTTTCAAGTTATAGAGGGAAATATGATCCTGGACTGTTATCTAAATCCAGGCCAACCCAAATAACAGCCGTTTAATTTCTCCCATACTACAGATAAAGTCCAATGCCCAGACTCTTGTCCAGGGGGCAGGTATTGATAGTTCAGATAACTCTGACCAAGCTTAGACATAGTGGCTGCAGGTTTTGTTTCCAAAACTGAGGTGTCAGATACTAATCTCCTGGTTAGACCTTAGAGGCATGTAACTGGTGATAAAAGTAATTACTTTTAAAAAAGAGTATAGCTACTGAAACTAATAGTAATTCAAGTTCAGAAACTAGGAAACCATGTCAGCAAACAGATACTACTACTCCAGAAATGAAATCTGTTAACACTGATACAACCCAGAAACAAAATCAAGGGAAAAGTAATTCAGAAACTAAGTGTATGAAACAGACAAATGACTGTGAAATATCACTTGATAAAGAATCTTTGAATGATGAATTTCCTTATCTAGATAATGATCAAGGCATACCTGCTGATCGGATAAGAATAGCTATAAGTCAGAAAAATCGTGAAAAGCCAACAAAATGTTTCAACAATAAAAAACCCTGTCAACTGCAACAAAATAAACAAGCATACTTCACTACAGTACAAGATGAATTTTTATAAATCAGATTATACTGGAGAATATGTTGACAATATGGGCAGGTGTACGATGGGGGTTGGTAATGTGGATCACTGTCACCCAGGGTACTGCCACATTGCTTTTTTGTCATTTGTAATAAAGATCCGTGTGTAGACTCGGACAAGTAATGGGGCAACTATCTCCCCTGTTGACACACAAGCAGATACCTCGGAGTACTCAAGTGAATCTTATCAGAACTATTTTTTGGCCAACACTATGCTAACAATGCCAAACGTTGGACACTTACACCCTCCAATGAAAGTAAAATTGTGACAACACAGATGAAATGCCTTAGAAGAGCTGCAGGAGTTTCAAGGAAAGACAGAATACGAAATCATGAAATCAGACGAATGCTAGGAATAAAGCCAGTCTTACAAGCCATCACAGAATAACTAATTAAGTGGTTTGGACACCTAACAAGAATGCCCAGGTACTATCTGCCAAAGCCAGCCACACTAAAACGTTACAACGGGTATAGAGCGAGTGGAAGACCTCGGAAAATATGGAGTGATGGCATTAAGAACAGCCTTACAGAAATGAACATCAGTCTTAATAGTACTCTTGACAGAGCTCATCAACAAACATTACATCTCCCCCGACACTTCGATGAGGTACAAGGTGGAGGAGAAGAAGAAGAAGAAGAAGAAGTATACTCAGACCGTGTTTATCTATTTGTGTTTAGGGATAGACATACCTGTCAGGAACCTACCAATGAATCAAATGCCTTCACGGTAGTAAAGTAGGTTTTTGACAACTGTCTCTTTTTATCTCTTTTCATTTAAACTGGCTACACTGGATCTTCAACAATTTTTTTGTTGTTGTAAATACCTTTAGGATACATAGGGTTTTCCAGTCCATCTTCTGATTCATACTTTTTACAAGCTGTGTCCTATTGCCCTATTACACTCCTGATGTGGCTACCAGAAAATATGGATTCTATCAAAGATGTGAATGTTGTCTTCCAGAAGCTTGTTCATTGTCTATGTCAGTGTACCACACACAGACACACACAATGTACCACACACACAGACACACACAATGGATAAGCACATCCACCAGATGGTAGATACGGGCTTCTGGGGGGGGGGGGAGGGGGAGTTAACTATGAAAATGTTAAATAGGTACTCATGGACCAATACAGGCAATAGTCATTATAAAGAGATGAGTTACTTAGTGTGGCAGTTCTCTCTCAAAGGTGTCTCTATGACATGGCTAAAAGTGTGTAACCATACAGAACACCTGGGCTTTTCAGCTGTTAGGTTATATATTAATGTATCTGTAAACTTATATGTCAGATTAGTTGCAAATGAGACTTACAGAAGCCAACAGATCCATTTCATGATCACGTTTCTGCATTTGTTCAACTGTGTTTTCCCACTGAGATAAAAGCTCTTCTCTCTCAATGTGAGCACGACGGAAGTCATCAGCAATTTTGTCCAGTTCAATCTGTTGGAAATTAGTATACAGTAACAATGAACAATATCAAAATAGAAAAAGAAAAAGCAAAACAACAGTACTTGCAAAAAATATCTTGTCATTTTTAGAGTTATTCATTAAAGATAAAAACTGTTCTATAGTTATAAAGTCATGAAGTTGGCAGACTTTCACATTTACTATTTTCATGATTTAAGAATCAAAATCATAACACACCTGACATATCCATCAATGCTCAGTCTCCCACAGTAAATGTCATATGGTGTAGATACTAACTGTTTTCATAGCACACTGATAATACACGTCATACTCTTTCCCTCATTACTTCCCTCCTTTCAGGATCCACTTCTGATTGCATGTTCACATATTCTTACACTTGCTATTTCATCTAACATGTCTTCTATTAGCCTTCATTTATAAATGATCTTCAGAGTGTCTTCTTTGTTGGTATGAGTGTTCCTGTAGCTTTCACTTTTGTAGCAACAAATCTGCTCATTCATTCCTCTCGCTCTCTGGCAACTTTATTTTTGGCTATCCACTTCAGAGCTATAGTGACTGACCCCACTTTAATCCTCATGCTTGAAGTTGTAAACAAAAAGGCACCCTTTTGTTCTGCCATGACCTTTCCCTTCACTCTAGTTGAAAACCACAGGCCAGACCTTTAACCCCATAATGTACAGAACCATCATTGTACACTATTTCGTCAAGCCCAGCATTTTCATCATTCAGTTGTACCTCTAATTCTGCCACACTGTGCACTACTCTCTACATTATTTTCTTAATGGGACAATGACCTGATGGATTCTGCCATTGTCTGTATTTGCTTGACTGAGGCAGCCAGCTTGATGGTATCTTCAGCTAGTGCCATTCATTACTTTCCTTTCTTTAACCAGCCTCCTCTAAAATAATTCAGACTGACATGCAGCAAATCTTTCATCATTGGCTTGTGCCCATGACAGTCTAGATTTTACCTACATGCAACAATTCACATTCCTTTATTCTGAATCTGTTCAAGTGTTGCAAACTGTGAAGTAGATAGTGATACAATTTATAGGCCGTAATCAATTACATAAAAGTGCCAGGACATTGAACAATAAGATCAATTCTCTCTGTTCCATATGTGTTGCCACCATAGTCTTCAGTGCTGGTGGAAGTTCTAGTATAGCTGCAGGTGCCCGAGTGTCTAGACAGGACTAAAAGATTTGACCTGCCTGAAGTGTCCCAGAGGCTGAGCCAGAAGCTGACTCAAGGATCACAAACAACAGATGAGTGGATATCAATCCCCTTTTTTCAAAAATGACATCAACTCCCATGTCGACCAGCCTTGAGTGGGTACCAGGTGCCGTCCTGGGAAGTAAAGGTGGCTGGCATGATGCTGACCACATCAGCCATCTTGTGTCGATTGGTCTATAAAAATATAGGTCTAGCCCTATATGCCTAAAGGCGTGGAAAAGGGACCTTTACTTGACTATATATATATATATATATATATATATATATATATATATATATATATATATATATATATATATATATATATATATATATATATATATATATATATATATATATATATATATATATATATATATATATATATACATACAGACACTGACTTCTCCTGTCTGGATGAATTCTGTTGGTATCTCATCACAGCCTATTATGCCCTATACATTTATATAGGTCATATAAATATGATCAAGGGGGCTGAATGGTCTCAAAAAAGGCGTCCTCCTCGAGTGCTGGAGGCCCCAGTAGAGGCTTGGATTTTTTCACGTGGAATTCAGGTAATTTCCCCTGGTCTCTGGCTAGTAAGATCGGACGCCCGTGTGTATTGTTGCACACATTTTAAAAAAATCTCTTGGCATTCAGAAATCAAAAAGAGTAGCCAATTGGCACTGCCCAGGCAATTTTTAGAGTTATAAATCTACCCAAAGCATTCCAAGATCTTCACCGGTGCTACGGAGGTCATGCACTGCGCTAAGATTTTTCCAACTCAGGACGGAGTTAGAAGTAGATCAGAGAGCACATGAGTTACTACCCTTGGGCCAAGATTTTGATCTGTTGCATCAACATAAAATATATCAATATATAAATATGATCAGTATAACATTCCCATAACCCTTCCGTCAACCACCTTTAGCAGCCAGTTTGTTTTGACAGGTTGATAATGCCCCCACCCCCACAAACATCTAGAATTAGGGTGGCTAATAGAGAGAGAAAATATTACTGAAGTAGAATACATACTAAATGAAAGGAGAATTTATATATTCTTGTGTCCCTAAACAATTACAGATCCATCACAGAATTAAAACAGAAACAGTAAAAGGTGGATGATAAGAAAACAATAACTACAGTACATTGTACTGCAGTAAAAAGATACATACATGAAGAACATCAGAAAGTAAGAGGACAGATAAATGAATGGATGACATAAGAGAAAATATTAAACATCAAAAGTAAATTAGAAACAAATATACCAACTTGTGAAGTTATTGTGGTTGTTATCTCAAAATGCAGTTGGAGTTTCTTCTTTGAAGCTTCTTCCATTAACTTCTCCATGCGACAGGATAGTTCCTGTAGATATTCACAAATTGAACATTGCAGAACAGATTGTTGTCAATGCACGAGATACGCTGTTCACAGACTGCTCTTACCTGCCTCCCAGTTTCAAACCTCAGCTGGCTAGATCATCATGAAATTTGGTCAACCTTGGGAGGCAGGATAAAAACATGTGTACACTCTGACTCTCTACACAAAGTGCTGCAATGGTAATGTGTACACTCTGAGTCCCTAGGTAAAGTGCTGCAATGGTAATGTGTACACTCTGAGTCCCTAGTTAAAGTGCTGCAATGGTAATGTGTACACTCTGACTCTCTACACAAAGTGCTGCAATGGTAATGTGTACACTCTGAGTCCCTAGTTAAAGTGCTGCAATGGTAATGTGTACACTCTGAGTCCCTACGTAAAGTGCTGCAATGGTAATGTGTACACTCTGAGTCCCTAGTTAAAGTGCTGCAATGGTAATGTGTACACTCTGAGTCCCTACGTAAAGTTATGCAATGGTAATGTGTACACTCTGAGTCCCTACGTAAAGTGCTGCAATGGTAATGTGTACACTTTGAGTCCCTACGTAAAGTTCTGCAATGGTAATGTGTACACTCTGAGTCCCTAGTTAAAGTGCTGCAATGGTAATGTGTACACTCTGAGTCCCTAGTTAAAGTGCTGCAATGGTAATGTGTACACTCTGAGTCCCTACGTAAAGTGCTGCAATCGTAATGTGTACACTCTGAGTCCCTAGGTAAAGTGCTGCAATGGTAATGTGTACACTCTGAGTCCCTAGTTAAAGTGCTGCAATGGTAATGTGTACACTCTGAGTCCCTAGTTAAAGTGCTGCAATGGTAATGTGTACACTCTGAGTCCCTAGGTAAAGTGCTGCAATGGTAATGTGTACACTCTGAGTCCCTAGTTAAAGTGCTGCAATGGTAATGTGTACTCTCTGAGTCCCTAGTTGAAGTGCTGCAATGGTAATGTGTACACTCTGAGTCCCTAGGTAAAGTGCTGCAATGGTAATGTGTACACTCTGAGTCCCTAGGTAAAGTGCTGCAATGGTAATGTGTACACTCTGAGTCCCTAGTTGAAGTGCTGCAATGGTAATGTGTACACTCTGAGTCCCTAGTTAAAGTGCTGCAATGGTAATGTGTACACTCTGAGTCCCTACGTAAAGTGCTGCAATGGTAATGTGTACACTCTGAGTCCCTACGTAAAGTGTTGCAATTGTAATGTGTACACTCTGAGTCCCTACGTAAAGTGCTGCAATGGTAATGTGTACACTCTGAGTCCCTACATAAAGTGTTGCAATTGTAATGTGTACACTCTGAGTCCCTAGTTAAAGTGCTGCAATGGTAATGTGTACACTCTGAGTCCCTACGTAAAATGCTGCAATGGTAAAGTGTACACTCTAACCCCCTACATAAAGTGCACACAATGGTAACTTCCTAAACGCTGGAGGGCAGTACAGCTCACGTGGAGGACAGCAGAGTGGCTTGCATTACTTGCTGAGACCAGGTATTAGCCTGTCCTTTATGGTTCCTATATAATATTGTCCTCCTGTCAGCCAATATTTAATTTTTACTACTTGTGCATTCAATTCACCAAACATACACATATATAGCAAAATTTTATTTTACATAAAACCTGAAAATCACTGGCTCTTGCAGTACATGTAGAAAAAGTATTAAAGAGAGAAAAGAACTGCAAAAAAATAGATCTCTCTAGGAATGAAAAGTTAAAGTAAAAGCTGTCTTAAATATAAAAAATCAAATTAAAATATGTGATAAACAGAATTAGTTAAGCCACAATGTATCTTAATTCATTTGTATTGATGTCTGTTTGACCTGTACTTTTCCAATTTGATAAGACTCTACAGCAATAGCGAGTAACTTATGGTGGTGATCTTATATTTTTAGTCACAAACTAAGAATGTTCTTTCTTCTTTAGCAATGAGAAAAAGGAAGAAGAGGTAAATCTTATCATTATAATCCATACATAAAGTAACACAAAGGATAAGCAGCTAACTAAATACAGTAAATATACCACCTTGATTTTGCCTTCATCCTGTCTGGTGTATTTCTGCAACGTCATAGCATCTTCATCCCTTCTAGTTGACTCTTCTAGCCATGCCTCCAATGTCTGCTGGTCCCAGTTCATCTGTGCCTTCACTGTCTCCAGGTTCTGTGTTTGCTTGAAGATTTTATTCTAGATCAAAGTAGAAATTGCACCTTAACGTGGAGGTCAAGCATAGCGAAAGGTTTTCTGCTAGATTAAGCAGTTAATGAATTTGTTTTTAAATAATTTACCTTTGAAGTATATATATCTTCTTTTTGGAATAATAAAGGAAGCAAATGAGAAGGCAGTCATTATTAAGGCATTTCTTTTTTTAACTCTTTGAAGACCAGTAGCCAGTTAACTGTCTTTTGAAGTTATCCCTATCGGACGGTCGCCAGTATACTGGCGTTTCACAGAGACACTCTTATTTTGTTCCGTTTGTGGGGGGGAAAAAAAGGTCAAGAACTGTTCATACTGCTTTGTCGTTGATGAATCTCTGACGGATGGTGACAATATTCTTGATATTATGATTGATATCTGAGTGACAAACCTATTGGTGATAATTTAGTTTAGGATCTGAAAACTGAACAAAACATTTCAATCGAAACATATAATATATTAAATTGAAGAGAAATGAGAGCAGAATAAATCTAAGCTATTTAAGTGTCAGTATAACAACAAAATATTATTAAAATCACACAACATTCAAGGATGTTAGACACATATAAAGATTATTTACACAAAAAGTGTTGTGCTTACCTTATTTTTTACTTGTTCAACACATTGCTATCCATTTATAAGAATACACACGCCTTCTCTGTTCAATTACGTATCAGCTAGTTTTTATTTGAAACAATTAATTTAAATACTTTGGAAATTATAATCATTTTTCTATTAGGTCAGAAAATCAGGAAAACAACTGATTGAAGCAGATGATCCAATTGAAATATTTTGTTATATCTTCACCCTAATCTTAACTATATGCTAAAGGTTTAGCACATGTATCATCAATCACAATATCAAGACTATTGTCTCTATCTGGCTGATATTCATCAACGACAGAGTAGACTTATCCCTTTTCCTTTGCTATAGAAAAATCAAGTAAAAATTGTATCACATCTAAAAAAAAAAAACATTTACATTTAGAAAGTGACACAAGGGCTATGCTAAACTTTGAAAATGAAAGGGCTTTGTGTCATTAATTCTAGTTTTTCAAAGCATGTTCATATAAATCTGTTTTTCCAACAAAAGAAACAATATTAGAGTGTCTCTATGATGCGCAACTATAGTGGCTAAAAGTCCGGGTGGATTCCAAAAGTAGTCAATAGTCCGTAAAGAGATAAAATATTAATAACATCAACAAAATACTCTTTGCTGATGACCAGGACTTGACAGCAGCTTCAGCCATGAAACTACAACAGTATCAAACATCTATGAAGGAAAAATCTAAAAATAATAATATGAGAATCAATACTGAAAAGCCAGAAGTATGTCAATAGGAAGAGAGATACAGAAACTAAATACAGCAATACAGGGCAATGGCATTACACAGTCATTTGAGTTTAAATATCTGGAAACAACATTTACCGACGATGGAAAAGTAAACAAAGAAATTAACATAAACTGAAGTAAAGCTTCTAGTCAAGGTGAATTTTTATTTTTCAGCCAGCATCTAACTGGAGTCTATTTTGGACATCTCAGAGTGTGAGTTGAGTCTGAATGTGATAGTCTGGTACAGATGTCACCTTCTAAAAAATTTGAAAACACTGTATCTTGTCCAGCAAACTGACAATGGTTTATTTAGTGCTCATAGAGACTCCACTCAGCATGCTCCCACAATGATATTAAGATCAACTTAGACAAAACAGAAGTGATGGCATTCACCAGAAAAGGAAGAACCACCAATATCAAAACTGACAAACATCAGTTAAAGCAGGTGAAGGACTCTACATGTCTAGATAGCATTTTTTCAGGGGGAAAAAGAATGAATAAAGAAAAACAATAAAGTTATAAAACAAATAGCATCTTTTTTTTTAAATGCAAGCATGTGAGTATGAATATTTTAAAAAAACCACTGTTCAACACAGTATTCTTACCAACTATTAGTGTCAAACATGGAAACTACCTTCAAAAGACAGAAGAAAAATAGTCATGACAGAAATGAAATATTTATGTATTATGCCAGGTGTAACAAGGAGAGATCAACTTAGATAATATAGATGATTTCAGGAGGACAGCTGGCACAGAACCAGTACTCAAATTTATCAGTAGACGGTAGATCAGATGGTTTGGACATGTAACAAGAATGGCAAGAGACAGGGCACCACAGAGGGCAATGTTATAACAGAGTCAGAGGTTGACCATTCAAAATATGGACAATAAAAATATCAGAGACATTGAAAAGCAGCAAATACGAAGCGAACAGAAGGGCCCATTTCAGATATCTCTTCCTGTCATGATAAAAGTTAAAGTTAGTTATGTATCCTTTACAGGACATTGCAGAACCAACCCCAGATATTTTCGCTGTTTGTGTTGTTGTTTTTTTAAGGCAAATTTTACATTTAGTAGTTTGCCATTGCTTTCTGAACAGTAAGCTTTCGGTACCACTGTTAAAACCAATGGAAGATAAATCGTCCCCAGCTGGAATCGAACCAGGCACCCGGGCAGTATGAAGCGCTTTTGCAACACTCAAGCCATAGATGCCGACCCTGTGGCCTGATTCTGTGAGGAATTGTAACACCTTAAGACAATCCTGATCAGCACAAAGAAACATCTTATATGAAACATCTTATATGAAACATCATATATGAAACATCTTATATGAAACATCTTATATGAAACATCTTCATTCCCACTCTATGCCAATAGTATTAGACACTGTCACTCACAACAAACTCTGATCTGGAAGAGTTGAGTTGAGTCAAGCATTGACATCACAGCACTCGGGGCATTCCCATGTGTGCTCCATCCTCATCTTCAGCAGCCAGCGTAGAGTTCCAATACTGATGGTACCGGTCACAATTTGGTTATATGTCTGTCATGCCTTTCGTCTGAGTGTAGTGAGCCGGGCAGACCCTTTTGTTACACCAGAGTATCCAGACAGCTAAGGCAAAGAGAACCGACCTGCACGTGATATGGCTGGTCCCAGCCAACGTCCATAAGCTATTGTGGCAGGCCCTTTGCATGTTCCACATACCCACACAGATCACTGAAATGATCAAGCAATATTTCTCACTTCGCCATACACTTCTCTACCCCCGTGTTTACTATGAGATGGGCTGAACTCCAGGTTGTGATAGCAATGGGATATACAATTCACCAAAATTTTTCAAAATGGCCATGCAGGTCATGTTAGACGCAGCTGCTGGCTACAGGCAAGGCCTTCAAATGAGGGACCACTGGATGCCATCACTTCGCAACTATCATAACGAGCAGTGAGGATGGTACCCGCACGATTCTGAAGAGGTTGGACTGTGTTGTCGAATGGTGTGACATGCAGTTAAAACCACAGAAATCAAGAAGTTTGTCCATCCTTAAAGGTAAAGTGGTGGCAACCAGTTTCACTGTGGCAAAGAAAAGGATCCCCACGGTTCTAGAGGAACCGGTGAATTGTCTGCGATTTGAAGATATCTGACAGAGAAGAGGTCGAACGGATGCATGAGTTTGCTATCGAGTGATGGAGGCTGATCAGGAAGTTCAAGGTCCGGTGTCTCCAGTTCATGTTGATTCCCAAGCTCCTCTGGCCGCTGATTGTATACGAGGTAAGCATGACTGCAGTGGAAAATATAGAGAGAAAAAATCAACACAGCCATGAGGAAATGGCTGGGAGCACAACCTTGTCTGACTGATGTGACTCTCTATTGCAAGCAGACTATGTTGGTACTTCCGTTCAAATCAGTAATAAAAGAGTTTAAAGTCGGCAAGGTAAGACTGTGCGTGTCTTTAGACCCCATGGTGGCAGCTGTCCAGTCTGCTCTTAAGACAGGTACGAAATTAAAGGTCATCGATGCGATAGAATGTGCTTAGAAAGCACTGATATTGAAGGAAGTCATGGAAAACGAAACTCGAGCACAATAGTCACAGCAAGGCCAGTGAATGGGCCTCAAAAGCACCTTGCCATGAATACTCACATGGGGTAAGATCTTGCGAATGGCTCCACTGCGGCTGAGCTTTGTCATATCTGCTTATGATGTATTTCCATCTGGTACCAACATGGTCAAATGGTGGGCGGTCACAGACTGATGTAACATGAGCGCAATTCGGGACTTTCCCTCTCCTCGCCAGTCGTTATGCGAAATGTCGCTCGTTAAGCAAGTCATTTTTTTTTACAATTTGTTTTGCTCGTTATGCGAATTACTCGGTATGAGAGGTACTTGTTAAGCGAGGTTCTTCTGTACAAGTAAATTAGATCCCGAAAAGGGATTTAATATAGTCCATATTACCAACAACAACAAAAGACGGCATGCACATGTTCATGCACACAAACTTATACATAAACACACACACACACACACACAGAGAGAGAGAGAGAGAGAGAGAGAGAGAGAGAGAGAGAGAGAGAGAGACATAGAAGTAAGCCTTGAAAAGGTTTAGATTTGAAAGGAAAACATTGTTATATTTTGATAAGAAGAACTCTACAGGGGAGCATCCACAGTAGGGGTCTAGCGATCATCAGTAGAAAAATCCTTTGTTGACGATTGTTATGGCCCATTACTTCCTAGACAATCTCGGAAAGGGCCTGACCTGGTTCATGACCCCAGGCTTCAATCAACCCCTGCTGCAATTTATCAGACTCTTGGACAGAGACAAGATGATATGGCCACTTGCAACAGGTGTTGTGAGATTTGGTGTTATATTCTCACTGCGGTAGCAAATTAGATCAGTCTGCTACCTTAACGATTGGTTTATCAGACAGGTGTTAGAACCAAAGCCCAACCCCCTGCAACATTCCGTTGCATCTAAAGCCATCTCAAAGCACTTTTAGTAGCTTCGTCCAGTTGTTTTAGTGACAGTTTACGCTTTTTCCTCTCAAGCCCAGCTGCTTTAGCACATTGTATGTGAAAGTGGAGATAAGACCTCTTGTGCTTACCTCGACTGTAAAGATTTTAACTGTGTACGCTTCGTCACTCCTCAGATCCGCCACAAGCTTACCGTACTTTACCAGTTTGTGCAGGAGATTTTCCTCCATCAGCGACTTGTACAGCATGGTAAACTTTATCAGGATGAGCTGTCATTTTTCCGTAGAGTGCAGAGCTACAAGTATGTCTGGTCTCAAGCCAGTCTTCTGGCTTGACTCTGGGTACTTTTCAAAACCAGGCAGGTTGACAGCCAGTAACCAGCCTCTTGGACAGTCAAGTGTTGATTTAGCGCACGCAACCTTGTTGACTTTACCTTTAGATTTCTTCCCAATCTTGAGGAAGCGCATGTGGGTTACAGTAAGACTGGCCCTTGCGTTGGCTCTCATCCTAGCTATCCCCTTAACTCTTTCAGGACTTTGCTGGGGGCCAAGTATATCGTCCCTGGCGTAGGCCTTTTATGCGCATTGACAAAACGCTGGAGCATCTGCTTAGCTCTCCAAAGTGGACATGGCAGGTCAGTGACCGCCATGTCAGTAGCATCGTAGTGTCGCTTGTGATCACACATTTTCTCAAACTTTTGCTATATTGTGATATATGTACATGAATCCTCCAGGCCTACAAGATGACCTCTCTGAGGAAATTAAGTTCATCAAGATCCAGTTTCTGCCTCCCAACACCACTCCGTTACTCCAACCCATGGACCAGCAAGTTATTTCTAATTTAAAGAAGCTCTGCACTAAAGCACTCTTCGAGCATTGTTTTCATGTGACTGAAGGGACCAACCTCACTCTCAAAAAGTTTTGGAAAAATCACTTCCACATTGTTGCCTGCCTCAAGATGATCAACAAGGCGGGGGAAGGGGTTACCAAGAGAACCCTAGCTTCTGCTTGGAAGAAGCTTTGGCCGGAGAGCGTTGGCGATTTGTGACTTTGAGGGGTTCGAGACAGTACCTGTGGCACCTGTAGTCAATGAGATTGTGTCTTTGGCCACTATCATAGGATTGTTGGTGGATAACAGTGATATCGAAGAGCTTGTGAAAGAGCACAGCCAGGAGCTGACCGCCCAAGAGCTTATGGAGTTGCATTGTATTTCACAGTAAGAAGTTTTGGAGGAAAGTATGTCAGAGGAGGAGGTAACAGAAAAGCAACAATCTTCTGGCGAAATAAGAGAAATGCTGAAAGCATGGCAAATTGTTGCATCTTACATTGAGAAGCATCACCCTATTAAGGAAGTGGCTATGCACATTGTACATTTATTTAAGGATAATGCTGTGTCGCATTTTCGCCAAATTTTGAAGCGTCAGCAAAAACAAATGTCTCTCTACATCTTTCTAGTAAAAAAAAATAATTAGCTATGTATCTTAATTATTTCAACTTTTTTTTCTGCAAATTGAATTCGTATTCCAGGTGGGTTCGTTTCGCGTTTCAAGAAAAGATGAAGATGATTCCCTTTCCTTAACAATATGTATATAATTTTCTTTGAATAAACGTTATACAGGGCATTTTGTGAGTATTTTTTTCGACATGGAAAGCATTATCGTATTTTACATTAATTTAAATGAGAAAATTGTTTCGCAATAACGAGTGTTTCGCTTAACGAGTATGATTCTGGAACGAATTATGCTCGTTAAGTGAGGTTTCACTGTAATTTGTTAAAGTGTGTGATTAGGAGAATTACTCCTTTCTGTCCTAACTTGTAACGTAATTCTAGAAGAACACTTTCTTACCAGTCTCTCATCAGTCTGAATAATGTCTCAGACTATTGTTCTTCTTTTATCAAGCTAACTTCTGGAGACTGTCATATATCATTAGGACTTGAGATTTTCAAAAAACAAATGCTAGAAAAATCATATTTTGCATTATCTTAAAAGTTCATCAATGCTTTACCCAACCCTTTCGCCCCACAAATGCTAAAACATTGGTCATGAACCAACGTCAATTCAAAGAAAACAATTTAAAAAAAAAAAATTATTTAATAACAGATTTTATACAGGTCACATATTTGGAAAAAAAAAGTTATTTATCTACATGTTTGAATTGTTTAAAAACAAAAATATAAATAAAATGGTAAGCAACGATAAAAATATGTATAATGTGACTCATGCAGTAACCCTGTGACATCTATCATTGAGGCTTACAGGAAAACCTGACATCAACTTCCCTTTAAATGGGTCTCTGGGGTCATAAGGTACAACCCCCCCCCCCCCCCCCATTTTTAGGTATTATAGTTAGATCCTGGACTATTAAACACTGTGCAGGCACACCCAGAAACAAATGAATTTGGCTACACTTTTTGAGAAAACAGGTTATTGCAGCCAGGTCGAAATATCTGCATATACAGGATTGTCTTTTCAACTAGAAATGACTAAATTTAGTCTTCTAGGGCGAAAGGGATACATGAAAATATTATTAACTTGGAAATGTAAATTTTAAAATGTCAAGAAGTTGTTTTATTACCTCAAATGCATTTTTCCTTTCTCTCAAATCATCCATCTCCTTCATTAGGCGTGCTATCTCTTGCCTGAGACGACCTTCCTCTCTTTCTGCAATTTTAAGCATATGATCTTCTGTCTGTATCTCATTCTGTCTTGCACTGACCAGGCCCTAGAGGACATTGCAATAAAAGACAAATACAAGAGAGTGATAAGTTGGGTTATCCTAGAGTTATGAGTTATGTGTCATCTTCACAGCACTCTGGTGACATCCATAGTTGAAGAACAAAAAAGTAAAGATCTTTTTTCACACCTTTTTCGTATCAGGTAAATGGGAAGAGCACCCATATTTTTTACAGACCATAGGCACTAGGTGGGTAATGTGGTCAGCATAACGCCGGCTGTCTTTACTTCCCCAGGACAGCCATCCTGGTACCCATTTTAGCCTGGGTCGACCTGCGACATTCTATACCATGATAAAAGTCCATGCAGCCAACAGTGGGTTTTGATCGCAGTACGTTGGAATTATGAGTCGGACTCGCAACACCGAAACCACAGACGCTGCGGTAACATCCATAGGTGCTCAGATTTCCCCCTCACCATACACATCAGCATCTTGCGGTTAATAGTTCCAGTTCTATGCTGGGTGGCAAGGCATCACTTGTTTTGTAAATGACATTCTTAGAAGGCTGTAGAAATTATGACAATTCTTTAGCATTCATGTGTTTTTGTCCCCAATTATGATTGATCTGTTACTTAATTGAAGGGTATGTTTTGGGTAGGCTTCAATAAACATTGTTCCATTTGTAAGAAAGACTGTTTCTTTTAATTGAAAGTTTCTTACAGTAACTTGATTTATTGCTATATAGTGCATTACTCATTTCATATACTTAATTAAAGTTTATTTTTAAAATAATTCTTTGATTATTAATTTATTTATTTTGAAAGCAATTATATCTCCAGATTCACCCTATACTTGTGTTCATGTGACTTTGTCAAACATTATTAAATTTACTCTTGTCATCTGAGCTTTAAGATATATATTCTTTTTATGCTAAAGGCTTTTTCTCTGAGCTCAGTTAATCTTCATGATAAGAGGGAATCATAGGGAATCTCAAGGCAAAAGTAAAATCCTGCCAAAATAAATCTTGACAATATATAAGATGATAAAATTATGTTTATTATAATATTTACCATACTTTACCAGCTTTAAGCTGTTAATTTCAGCTGTTAATCAAAATATTAAAAAATTTAAAAAACATATTGTAAAAGTAAAAGTAAATAAAAATGGAACCAGTAGTATACCTGTGTGTACTGAAGTTCTTGTCGCACATTTCTCAGGTGTTCACTCATAGCACCTATACGTTCTTCAGTCTCTTCCAATTCATTTTCATTTCGGACAAGCAATGTCTGCTTTTTCTTAACCTGAAGCAGAACAGGAACATAAATAACTCTCAGTACAACGGAATTAAATAATTGCCAGTGTAAATATTTAGATACAAAAACAGTAACATATAGATAAAATTAAATTTTTATAGTTTGTAAAGGAATAAAAATCATAATGATAAGAACAGCATTTACAGACAAAAAATAAACTGTCATAGACACAAACAATATACAACTTTATCTACAGAAAAAAATGCTCTCTTTGTACATCCGGCCAGCTGCATTATGATCTTCTGATTTGGTAACAAAAAAAATTACATAAAATAAATGAACAAATAATGCTATTAAATGACAACAATCAGCTAATTTTAAAAAGGCATAGGTTAAAAAAAAGTCTACATAACTGAGCAAGAAAAGCTTCCGAACCCTATCAAGGAGAGTACTGAAACAAACATTTTGCTATCCATCACAGACCCCAGAGAAAACATTACTTTAGCTTATCTGCATTGGCCAGTCTCCAGAAGGCATATTTACTGGTTTCTGTACTGCTTTGTAATACTGTGATGTTTAGATGACCTGGATATTAAATAATTTACCTAAAATAACTAATGAAGGTATGAAGCTTTCTGAACCTTATCAATGGAACTGTGGCCATATTAAACTTGTCATGTGGTTTTTATGAATCCAGTAAGAGTGTGAACAATAGAGGCCCTGATTATATTCATGATTATTAGATGTTGCTTCAGTATGATCAATAGATATTGAAATGTTACCTTCTTTCTTATTATTTTAACCAATAGTACTTCTGGGGGTTCTACAAGAATGTTTCTTCATCTTTACTGTGAAACATAGTTGGAGGCTTTGTAAATTGTGGGTTAGTCTTCAACTAGATATTTTCCAGGTGTCCACATTTTCTATTTCAGTGGGTCCCACCTACCATCTAGTTCCCACAACAGGAATTGCTGTCTGCTTAAAATTTATATAATATCCTAGGACAAAACTCTTAGATAAAATTATAGTCAGGCCACTTCAGCAGTTTGGCATTCCTGAGTTAAATCTTTGAAGACTAGTCACCAGTTAACTGGCTTTAGAAACTATCCCTCTCGGACTAGTCGCCAGTTAACTGGTGTTTCATAGAGACACTCTAATTTTGTTCCGTTTGTGGGGAAAACAAACTTTTATGAACAAGTTTTTGAAAAATTTTGATTAATAACAGGAAATCCTTTCATTTGCAATGTTCTGCATGGCTTTTGCATCATTTTCTGATTTAAAAAGAATTATTTAGAAGTGATACAGTTTTTATGTGATTTTTTTATAATAAATGACAAGAGAAAAAGTCTAGAACTGTTCATACTGCTCTGTCGTTTAGGAATCTCTGCCAGATGGTGACAACAGTCTTGATATTATGATTGATATCCAAGTGACAAACCTATTGGCAATAATTTAGTTTAGGATATAAAAACTGAACAAAATATTTCAATCGGATGAATGTTTCGATCAGCTGTTTTTCCCCGATTTTTGGTTGTTGTGAATTTGGACATGTCATACAAAAATGATCTTAACATCCAAAGTATTAAAATTAATTGTTTCAAATAAATACTAGCTAATACACAATTGAACAGAAAAGGCATGCATTCGAAGAAATGGATAGCAATGTTGTTGAACAAGTAAAAAAAGTAAGGCAAGCACAACATTATTTATGTAAATAATCTTCATATGTGTCTAACATCCTTAAATGTTGTGTGTTTTTAATAATATTTTGTTGTTATACTGACATTTAAATAGTTTAGTTTTATTCTGCACTCATTTATCTTTAGCCGAAAATATACCCTAACAGGGCCTCAGTCACAAGTAAATTCCGGACCTATTTACGGCGACTATACAGTCGCCTAAAGTATCTCCCGCGCAGCTATGCGCTGCGTGGAACAGGGCTAAACTAGATGGCTGGGGTTCATGAGCAGTAGCTACCGCATCTCCTGCAGCTGCCTTTATTTTATTTGCTCATGACTCCTGGCCATCTAGTTTAGTCCCGCGGTGCAGGAGATACTCTCGGCGGTGGCGGTATAGTTGCCGGAAAGAAGTCCGCAATTTACATGTGACTGAGGCCCTGTTAAGGTATATTTTCGGTCTCGATAATTTGGGACCATTGAAGATAGCTTTCTTTTCTTTTTGTGTGACACATACCCTGAGCCTCTACTGTGCTATCATTCCACTGGCCCAGGTCATGCTTCACTCTCTTCTTCACCAGCAGACACTGACCAGGTCTTCCTTGTCCAGTAAGAATTATTTAACTAAGGCAGCTGAGAGACATATCTGAGTTAAGGAGTGATCGCTTTTTTATATGTCTATAAGTGTAGTAAAAAATAACGATCCTGACTAGATAACGCTAATTGGCTATTCAATGAATAACGGTCCCAAATTATTATTAATAAAAATCTTAATTTTCTGGTGTCGTTAGCTCTAAACACGGAAACTACTTAACCGATTGCTTTCAAATTTCTACACAACGTTGCCTCTGACTCAAAGCGTTATTTTTTGTCATAAAATAGCACAAATCACAAATGACGTAGCTCCAGCAACAATCAAATCATTATTTGTTTCGTTTCCAGCCCGTATTTATTATTAAAGAATTGGCCACCTTTGTGCAACACCGACCGTCGCATTATTATTATATACTTTTATTTCTCCAACATGCTTGGGTATTCAGTAGCGCAGTTAGTTGTAAGCATTTCGCTTTTGTTATTAGAGGTTCGATTCCCCGCTAGGCTATATAATTTTTTTTTTTTTGCCCCTAACTGGGTGGCTGCCACGTTTTGTTGTGGTTTATAGCTAGGCTGCAGTATCTACGCTTTTTGTTCCGTTAGAATTTGGGGTTTACAGCTAGCCTGCGATAGCGAGCGACGTGATGCTCAATGTTCATGTTCGTTCGCCCTTGAGAGGGCGGTTGGCACGTTGTGTTGTGGTTTACAGTTACGCTGCGATATCTGACCTAAAGTCTTCAGTCTTCGTAGGTTGTATTAGATTTGTATAATGGGTGTTGCATTCCAAAGGGGCATTACCCCAAACGTTGTGTTGTTGTTTAAAGCTAAGTTGCGGACATCTGCGCCTTACGACGCCCTAAGGACTCCGATTTAAGTACAAGTCCATATTAGCCCCCCCCCCCCCCCCCCCCCCCCCCCCCACCGCAGTTTCATTCGATCAAAAACTATTCGTTACTGACAGACATTTGTTAACTAAGAAGGCTTACGGTCCAGTTTTGGTTTGGGGTCGGACAAGGGATGCCAAGGTTAATTAACATCGTCACTTTGGACCAGGACGAGTGTGGGTTTTTTATTTCCGCTATTTGTGAGTATTCTTGTATATTTTTTTTTAAATCACGGAAGTTTTACTGTGGGTTCCTATCACTGGTTTAGTTGATGGAGTTTTTTATCGGGGACACACTTAAACTAAAAACAGTCCGTGGGGACAGCATGCAGCGCAGTACAAGTTACCCGGTGGTGATGGTAGTGGTAGCTACTGGTACTCGAACGACCTGTACAGACAGTAGTTACAGTTTTGTGTTGTTGTTGTGACGGTGGTAACAAACAATATGGTAGTGTAGCAGTAGTACTGATACTCGATGGGGGTGATGTGGTAGCTGTTACAATTAACTGCGAGAGCCACATTTTTTACTTTCTC